TGTTGTCTTTTCATTTAATTGTGTTTGTTCTTATAGTTAGGTCATTAATCCATTTCGAATCCTTTTTTTTTTTTTTTTTTTTTTTTTTTTGTACATGGCATTAGGTAAGTGTCTAACTTCATTCTTTTGCATGAGGCTATCCAGTTGTCCCAGGACCATTTGTAGAAAAGACTCTCTTTTTTCACTGAATGGTCCTGGACCCTGTGGTTGAAAATCAGTTGGCCATAAATAGATGGGTTTATTTCTGGACTCTCAATTCTGTTCCATTGATATGTATACATATATGTGTATGTATATACTCACACATATATATGTATGCTATATATAGATCCATATCCTTATGCTGGTACTACATTGTCTTGATTCCTGTAGCTCTATAGTTAAGATTTTAAAATAGTAATTGTGAATTCTCTCTGGTCTCTTTAAAAATTGTTTTGGCTGTTCTGGATCCCTTGTTTCCATATGAATTTTAGGATTAGCTCATCAACTTCTACAAAAAAGCCAGCTGGGGATTCTGATAGAAATTGTGGTGAAATTATGAGGAGTCTCGCCATCTGAATATTTAAGTTTTGTAATCCATCAACATGGAATAGCCTTTCCGTTTATTTAGTTCTTTGTTTCAATGATGTTTTGTCGTTTTCAGAATATGTTTTGCATTTCTTTTGTTAAATTTATTCTTAGGTCTTTTATTATTTTTGATACTATTGTAAAACAAATTTTTATTTCATTTTCATATTTTTCATTGCTAGTGTATGTAAATAAGTTGATTTTTGTATATTGATCTTGAATCCTGAAATCTTGCTGAACTTAATGATATGTTCTCACAGTTTTTTAGTGGCTTTCTTAGGATTTTCTGTCTATAAGATCATGTCAACTGTGAATATAGTTTTACTGTTTTTCCAGTTTGGATGCATTTAATTTCATTTTCTGGCATGAGAGACAAATAGCAAATTAACAACACATTTTTAAAAATCAGAGTAATAATGTCAATTCATACAGAAATAAACTATGATGATGGGATGAGAGTGACTTGGGTAGCTACTGTAGATTGAGTACAAGGAGATGCCTCCTGAGAGGAAATGAGATCTAACCTAGAATTTGAATTGTAAGAAAAAGCCTCCTAGACAATGAGAACAGCTAATGGGAAGGGACTGAAAGGTGGGAATGAGCATACATGTTGGAGGAACAGGTAGACTAATGTGACTGGAATGCAGTGAGCCAGAGGGGAAAGGAGGGCTGAGAGGCGGCCAGGGGCTAAATCGGGTAGGCCTCTGTAAACCCGAGCAACGGGGGTTGGATTTTATTCTAGGTTTGATGAAGTGCTACTAGATTGTTAGCAAGGGAGCGATGCGATCTGATTCACATTTCAAAATCACTACAGTTGCTTTGTCGATAACAGAGGTTGGAGTGGAAGTTGGGGAATCACTTGGAAAATTTTTGCAACACTTTGTGTACAAAATACTGACTTGGGGTGATGATAATGGAGATGAAGCAAATGGATGTATGGGATGTGCTCATGATTTGGTTGTGGGGAATGAAGAGAAGAGGAGTAAGATATAATTTCCAGGTGGTGGCTTGTGCCCTTGTGTGGGCACTAGCACTAAATTGGGGAAGACTGGGCTTGAACAAACGGAGTTGTAGGGGATGCCGGGGAGACGCACCACAAACCCTATTTTGACTATGTTAAGTTGGGGACACATAATGGTACTTCAAGTAAAAATGCCACGTAGGCTGTTGGATACACAAGACTGAAACTACAGGAAGTGAGCCAGGGTCACTTGATTTCAGTTTGAAGGAGCTGCCAGTGAGCCAGAAGAGAATGTTTCCGGCAATCCAAGGTAAAATTGTTTCAAGAAGGTGTCGGAATGTGCCAATACGCCCAGCCAGATTCCTGGCCCAGTGTGTGGGTTACTTTACCTTTCTGAATTTACTTCTCCAACTATACAGCGAGGTAATACCTAATGTGGGGGATGTATTGTGAGACTAAAGGAGACAAGGCATATACATTTAGCAACTACTATTCTACGCCACCTCTGATTTGATTAACTGGACTTGACAAGTGGTAAGAGCCAAACTCACCACATTTTCTCAAGGAAAGACACATTTTATATGGAAAGTTGCTTTAAGACTATGGTGTAACCTTCACTCTCCCCTTAGTAAACCTCTTTGAAAATAGCATAAGTCACTACTGCATATCAGGAAATAGTTTCCCTCTCTAGCTCTTCCTACAAATGCTGTTTACTCTGCCTAAATAAGGCAAGATGTTTAGAATACTAAAGTAACAAATGATGCTATTACAACCACCAAAGTATTAGGTGCCTCTTTTTTTTCTTGCACTAAACACAAATATCTCTGAGTCTTAGCAACTCAAGTTACATGAAGGGGGACATTGAACCCTTATCTTATAGAATTTAAGTCTACTTTCTAAATACTAAATACCAATGCAACAACAGTAATAGTTAACATTTATGGAGGGCTCACTACTAGCCCGAAGGTACTGTGCTAATTTTTTAGATCTGTAAGTGATTTAATACCCCAACAATCCTATAGGGTGGCAATAATATTATCCCCAAATCATCCTCCCCAGTTGATCAGCTTTAAATGAGAGTGGGAAAGTTAACCCATTAAAACTGTACTAACTAGATATCCCAGTGTCTTTTAACTGAAAGGTGTGAGAAGGTGAGATTCACAATAGTTCCTCAATGAATAGATGAAGGTTGACTATTCCAGGTATTGGAGATAAAAAATATTTTTGTTTTTATATAAAAATATGTCTTTAGCAGATTAGCATAATAGGGCTTCATCCTCAGCTTCCAAAGCAATTAGTACATCCCACAATACCTGGCTGAGCATTCTGAAGGAAAAAAAACAAAACAAAATGATGTAAAAGTGCAGAATCAGCACCGTTACCGGATCATCTTTTCTGCAGTATTTTATCCCATAAATGTTTTGCTGCATCTATACCAGGATAATTTCATTTAAAACAATTTTAAAATTTATGGCTGATGTGGCTCAGTGGATTGAGTGCTCGCCTGCGAACGTAAAGGTTCAATTCCCAGTCAGGTCACGAGCCTGGGTTGCAGGCCAGGTCCTCAGTTGGCGTGAGAGAGGCAACCAATTGATGTATCTCTCGCACATCAATGTTTCTCTCCTTCCCTTTCCCCCTCTTTAAAAATAAATAAATAAAACCTTTTTGAAAATCTTAAAATTTACAAAATTCACCTTTTCCATGGAATCCTGTGATTTAGAGCCCATCCATACTTTTCTGAGACGATGGAATGATTCAGATCAAGGGGCTGTTAAAACTACTTTGTCATTAATCTTTATTTCAATTAAAAATATGTGAATTCAGAATTAACGTAAGGTAAAACCTCAAAGTATGTGGCAAAAGAAATGCGATAAGAGCTCCAATAAAATGATGTGGTACCTGTGTTATGTATTGCAGACATTAACAAAATAAAAAAGCACATTTTGAAGACAATCAAATTCTGATAAGTTGTAGTTTGTAAAAATCAATTCAGCAGTAAAATCTTGCCATGGGAGAAGCTATTTGCCTTGTTACTATCAGTTAAAAATCAAAAGGGCATACTTTCCTCTTCTGTTTGTGACTATCACAGCATTATATGACATATATATACCTAAATCCTGTAACTCAGAGAATATAGTCAACTAAGCAAGAATTTGTATTTATCAGGGCTTACAGATCATTTACTATAAAATATTTTCATTAAAAAATAAAAATTTTATAATCTATTTCAAAAATAGCAATTAAAAATTATATAAACTGCAAGAAGGTTTCCAAACAGAAGTTTCAAAAACCTTGGCCACACCATAGATACAACATCAAATAAAATCTAGCTTAATTTACCAACTAAAACATTCACTAAAAATAATGTTTTCTGTATGTGTAATACTGAGAGTAACACTTCAACATTTCAACAGAAATTGCTGTTCTGTCACACATTATCAATGTCTGTTCTCAAAACAATTTGAAGAAATTTCACTTACAAGGCAAATCTTCATTTAAATTAGAAACAGTGCATCTTAAAGTTTAAAGAGACCTATATATAATCATTTCCAAACACATATATTTTTTTGTATGCTTATGGTTTGACAGAATTTTCCCTGAGCACTCTTTCTGCTTGGTTAGAAAACTTAGAGCATGATCTATAGAATTTTTATTTTGGTTTCTCTTGAATATATGCAATTTTTCATCCATCAAATGCATTTGGGAATCTTTCCTTGTAGACAGCTCTAAAGCAACAAGTAATTATAACTGTTTTAAAGGGCTAGTTAAATGGTTATAGAAATATGGCTGGGTTTTAGAACTCTGAGAACTGTACAGTGGGCGTCTCATACAACTGAAATGATTTACTATCCTAAAACTATAAGTGCGCTAACTATACAGATGAAAGAGTTAATAATCAGTAATTCCAGCTCAGAATACCAATAGATAAGCATTAAAAAACCAAAAGAAAACAAAAGTTGAATAACATTGTGCTTTCCATGGAATAATGTTGAAAAAATTTAACCCTTCTGCCCAACACAGGAAATACCTCACAATGACACTTTATTTAATGCAGCTTTGAGATCTGTCACTCCTTAATATCCATGCAAACTTAACATCAGCATCATTGAGAATTTCATCACGCAAATTGCAGTTCTCAACACTATCCCACAATTCACAGAAGACATACTACACTCAGTGCACATGCATGGTACCACTACCAGGTGTGTTCCCCTAATTTTTTAAAGTTTCAAAAAAATCTTGGCTACTCAACAGTTTAGTCCTCTTCTTTTTCAAATAAATAAATTAATATTAGAAGTCTTAACTAATTTGTAAATACTAATTTTCTGTATAGCCTGGTATCACACTAAAAGAAAATTAGATTTAAGAAGTTTCATATTTATAATTAGGGTTCCTAAGACCTAATTATACACTTTCCTTTACATTATGATTTATGTGGTTTGCAAGAATAATTAATAAATAGCTTAAAATATTTAGAAGTCATTGTTCTGAAGATCTTCAAGAGGTGAGCAATTTTGGATGTCCAGAGGCGTGTCTTCTGCCTTTTTGGTTGTATGTTAAGGTGCTTTATGCAGGACGCCCTGTACCAAAGCGGCTTTTAGACCTAGATATTTTAAACAGAAAAGAAGGTTAAAGGTGCTTCAAAATCAAAAGTTACTGTTACTTTAGATTATCCTTGCTTGACAGTATCAAAGTTTACTGAGATTTTATGTAGCTCCATAATTCATTTTTAAAAACCCTTGAAGTAAGATATATTTTGGAATTCAGACATTTTTTTGATTTTTGGGGAGATAATGTGGTACATAGTATACTATGGATCTGAAGCAATGCCTCATAATCAAACACATTAATGTTTCTTCATAGTGAAACAAATAAACATTTACATTAAGTGGGATAAATAAAAACTATAAATAGCATCATAGTAGCTCAGTTTAGGTTTGAGCTGACACAAGTATGTGAAAAAAACCTGGTGGTTTTCTGAGCTTTCTGGATTTCTGCAATGCAGATAAGGCTTTTATACACTTTATACACTGTAGTATTAATGACCAAATCTCAGTAACTGTTAACCTTTAAAAGAAAATTGGTGATATAAAATAACACAGGACCAGAAAAGGAGAGAGAGTTCTGGCCAAACTGGAGGCCTAGGTAGAAATACTCCGGTTCCTCATACAACCAAAAGAAGGCTAACAACCAATTTAAAAACAAGAAAACAACCAGAGTTGCCAGAAAATCAAACTGCATGGAAGTCTGACAACCAAGGAGTTAAAGAAACATTCATCCAGACCTGCAGGAGGGGCAGAGACAGGCAGTGGGGAAGAGAGGACATGCAGCACGGCAGTGGACCTCACAGTCCAGGAGGGGGCTGGCTGAGTGAGCAGTCCCACATTCGAGTGTGGATAAGCCAAGAGGAACGACTGGAGAGCAAGACAGGCTGCAAAACCCAGGGTTTCAGCGTGGGAAACCCAAGACTCAAAACCTCTGGCTGTAAAATCCTGTGGGGGTTGTGGCGGCAGGAGAAACTCCCAGCCTCACAGGAGTCTGTTGGAGAGACCCATGGGGTCCTAGGATGTACACTGGTAATCAGGATGCTCACAGAATTGATTGAGTTAGGCCACAAAATGAAGGAAGAAATGAAGGCTATACAAAGTGAAATAAAGGGAAACATACAGGGAACCAACAGTGAAGGGAAGGAAACCGGAACTCAAATCAATGATTTGGAATGCAAGAAGAAATACACATCCAACCAGAACAGAATGAAGAAACAAGAATTCAAAAAAAAAAATGAGGAGAGGCTGAGGAACCTCTGGGGCAACTTAAATGCTCCAACATACAAACCATAGGGGTGCCAGAAGAAGAGGAATAGCAATAAATTGAAAACTTCTTTGAAAAAATAATGAAGGAGAACTTCCCTGATCTGGTGAAGGAAATAGACTTCCAGGAAATCCAGGAAGCTCAGAGAGTCCCAAAGAAATTGGATCCAAGAGGAAACATGCCAAGACACACCATCATTAAGGTACCCAAGATTAAAGATAAGGAGAGAATCTTAAAAGCAGCAGGAGAAAAGGAGACAGTTACCTACAAAGGAGTTCCCATAAGACTATCAGATGACTTCTCAAAAGAAACCTTACAGGCAGGAAGGGGCTGGAAAGAAGTATTCAAAGTCATGAAAGCCAAGGACCTACATCCAAGGTTACTCTATCCAGCAAAGCTATCATTTAGAGTGGAAAGGCAGATAAAGTGCTTCCCAGATAAGGTAAAGTTAAAGGAGTTCATCATCACCAAGTCCTTATTGTATGAAATGTTAAAAGGACTTATCTAAGAAAAAGGAGATGATCAAAAACTATGAAGAGTAAAATGACAACAAACTCACAGCTATCAACAACTGAACCTAAAAAAAAACCCCCAAAACTAAGCAAACAACTAGAATAGGAACAGAATCACAGAAATGGAGATCACATGGAGGTTTATAAGTGGGGAAGGGGAGAGGGAGAATGGGGTAAAAAGGTACAGGGAATAAGAAGCATAATAGGCAGGCACAAAATATACAGGGGGAGGTTAAGAATAGTGCTGGAAACGGAGAAGCCAAAGAACTTACATGGGAGACCCCTGGACATGAAGTGACGGGCGGTGGGGAATGCAGGGGGGTGGGTGTGGTGCAGGGAGGAGGGGGCAAAAGGGGAGAAAAAAAGTGGGACAACTGTAACAGCATAATCGAGAAAACATACTTTAAAAAAAAAAAGGAATAAAATAAAGTAACACAGGACCCACAAGTACCACAAGCTAGATTTTTAAAAGAGAAATAAAATAAAACAAGGAATAAGAAAGACTTCAGTGATTTATATAAAGTAATAGTATATAATCTATAAATAGTATTAAAAATATGCTAATTAACAGTAGCCCTATAGCTTACATTTTTATCATTAGCTGGAGCAGAACAGAGCTGAATCAATAAACAGAAATCTTTAAAAAATTATATTTTCATTAAATTTCGGGCTTACGACATTTTAAAGCCTTAATTTTTGAGTTAAAATGTGGTTATTATTATTATCTTGATCTGATCCTTGAAACAAACAAAACAAAACTCAAATTGTGTGCTTCTAGTGTCATATGATTTTCCCTAAAAAGAAAAACAAAAGAAACACATCACTTCAAAGCCAACGGCACTCTGAATTCGCCTATGCTGAGTTACCTCGAGTTTTTCTCTGAGCTTCCTTGCCGCGCACTGACTGGCACTGAGGCCTTGATTTGCGCCTCGAGCCTGGAATAAATACCTCCTGCAAACTGCAAAGTAAAGGAGTAAAATTCACTCATTATGTTTACAGAATCAGGAGAAGCTATGCTTTATGAAAATGGCATTACTTTTTAACTTAAAAGCACCTTTATTCTGATTTTTGAAAATTCAGGTTCTGTGACATAACTTACATATATTAAAATCCACCCTTTTTAGTAAATAGTTCTGTTTTGACAGATGCATACAATTGTGTTTCCATTGTTACAATAGACATAGAATAGTTCTTTCACCCAAGAAAATCCCCTTGTGCCTATTATAAGTCAACCAATTTGACACTACAATTCTTGGAAACCTTGCCAGCATGTTTTAAACTTTTTTAGACATTCTAGTTGGTTTACAGTGATATATCATTGAGGTTTTAATTTACATTTCCCTAATGACTAATGATGTTGCATCTTTTCATGTGCATATTTGCTATCTATATCCTTCTTTTAAGAAGTGTATTGTTAATCTTTTGCCCATTTCTTTTGATTGGATCGTTTACTATTGATTTTTGAGAGTTATGTATATATTCTGGATACAAATCCTTTACCAGATAAGTGTTTTACACATATTTACTCATAGCTAATGACTTGTCTTTTCATTTCCTTAATAGTGTCTTTCAAAAAGAAGAACTTTTAAATATTGATGAAGTCCAATTTATCAATTTTTTTCTTTTATGGATCACATTTTTGGTGCTGTAGCTAAGATATATTTACCTAACCCAGGTCACAAAGATTTTTTCCTGTTTTCTTCTAGAAGTTTCATAGGGAAGTGCATTTTTAAATGAAATATAGGGGCAAGAGTTATTATAATTAAATAATACCAATACTATCATAATACATAATGTTATAACTAATACGTAATTCTAGTAAGAACATAGGTATTTCTAGTCATCATTTTCAGCAAGATAGTATCTTATTTTAGAGATGTCTAAGTACTGCATGCAGGGTTGATCAAAACCCGCAACTTTCAGAAAGTCACCCTCTGAATGGTTAGCATTTGGTCAGCAATGAACATTTAACCTACTCTTGGTGTGACATTACATTTCCACTGACACTGTACTTTATTATGTGTGTTAAAGGAGACCCATGAACCAAGGATCAAAGAAGGAAGAGGAACACTTTCATGTGAATTAATTGGCTAATTGGTAAAGGGTATAAAAATATTTAAATTACTCTTTTTAAATTCTGCCTAAAAGATTTTTATACTCCTCATCATGAAAATAAAGTAGGGAGGCACATCTACGCAAGCACAGTATACTAGTACATAATTCTTACTTCTTTTGATTCCTTTGACTTGACTCGATCCATATCACCCAGCCTCATCTTTATTAGGTGCCCTGTAATTTCAGACATCCGCCTCTGATCTGCAGGTAAAAAATAATAAGCCCTGCTTGTTATGAGAATGATTTATAACTTTTATTTCTTAAAAAAAGATTGCAATCATCAAGATTTTATGAAAATATCATTTTACAGATTACCTATGTCTATTTATCTTTGAAGAATTTTTAGGCTGTGAGTGGCAAAATGCCTCATACATAGATAATTGTGATACTTTAAAGATTACTATAAATCAGCCTAAAACATATTCTGTCATCTTTAGAGTGAAATTAGTGGACAAAAGTCAGGCTGAGAGACCTCAAATCCATATGTGCATAAAATAATACAATATCTACTAGACAATCACTACTAGATTGTCTAGTAGTGAAACTCTGGTTGAGGTCTAAGAAATATGTTAACTCTGAGCCTTGTTCCAGTTGAAACCTTTAAAACTGTTCAGCATACTGGCCAGGTCCCGGTTAGGGGTGCATGCGATACTGACGTTTCTCCTCCTCTCTTTCTCCCTCCTATCCCCTCTCTCTAAAAATAAAGAAATAAAAATCTTTAAAAAACTATTCAGCATACTTCATAATATAAAAGATTCCTATTATTGTTATTTATACCTAATTTGTGCATTACTCAAAAAATAAAACTTACCATCTTCTCTTTGGGCATCCTGGTTGAATCTCAGTGATCTTGAGGCATCCCACTTATTCTTCTGCATACTCACACTAGTGAAAAATTAAGCAGAAATCAGCATTGATGCTTTAAGAATGAATATCTCATTGGATTCAGGAGCAATACTCACATGAAAGGAGACACATCTCTAGAAGTTGACTAAAAAAAAGTAGACAACATTAAGGCTCAATTAGAACATATTTACTGATAGTGCTATAGTTAATAATAAAAGGAGTTACATTTACTGAGTGCAAGATACCATATGAAGAGCATTACAAGTATTATTTCATTTAAGCATTACAACAACCATATGCGACAGGTGTTGTTATTATCTCTGTAATAAAACAGGTTCAGAGAAATTAAGAGACTTGTCCAAAGAGAAACAAACCTAGAATCTGAACTCAGCTTTATTGTCTGATCTGGAAGCCTCAGCTTATGCAGTCTTTTATAATTCACCCATTCATGTGTCTGTAGTATCTAACGCAAAGATGAACCTACAACATGTCCAATGTAATTGTGAGGGTCTCGTCTCAACCCCAGCTTTCACACATTTTTGGAATCTGTGTTTTGTTTATCTTTTAGCCAACAGTGATTATTACTGTTCTCTTACTGCTACCTGGATTTTTACCCCTTCCCTTGAAGTCATGGGGAAATAAGAATTATTTTAAAAGACCATAAAGTACAGAGTGAGGCAATAGTAGGTTTACAGTTGTGAGTATGCAACACAGAGTTTATTCTTGTCTTATTATTTATTAGTTGTATTATTTTCCAAAAAAAAAACTGTAAACCTACTTTTGCCCCACCCTGCATAAGTTATTAAACATTTTAGAAGTCCATTTATTTATCTTATTTTAAAGTCTATTTATATATTTTATTTTTGAATAATATTGGTTCAAAATTCAAAAGGTACAGACAACAAATATAGTAAAGAGCCTCTGTCCCCAGACATTCAATTCTATTCCTTAGAGGTAATCAACTTTATCAATTTCTTACATAGTTTTCTGGAGATATTTTTTATATATACAGTAAATTCATCTATAGTCCTTCACTTATACTACACAAATAGTAGCATAATATGCCATTCTACATACTATTCTGCACTTTCCTTTTTTTCACCTGTCAATATAGCTTAGAGATCTTTAATCTGTCTTAACAGAACTTTTTCATTCATTTTACACTGCTGGTATTCTATTATGGTATTTGGTAGTCTTCTTTTTCAGATTTCTCCTGGCTATACTTGCTCGCTTATTTCTCAGTATAGCAATATATAATTTAGAATTACCTTCTCCAATGCCTTTTCTTTCTTCTGACCACAGGGTGAAGACATCTGCTTTTTTGGTTGTTTAGTGAACTTCTTAGGCTTCTCCTTTTTCCCTGATTAGAGGAAATCAATGATATGAGAATAAAGCTGTATATTTCTCCAATGCACTTGTTACTTCCAAAAAATAAAACCCTGAAAAACCATTGTTTTTTAAAAACTAACATTACCTCTGGGTAAAAAGTAAATATACAGAAGAGTCAAACTAAAAGTGCTTAACATGGGTTCATTTTAATCACCTTTCTTCTTTCTACTCAGTAAAAATCTTTGGGAGAAAAATGAGGCAATGAATTCTAAGTGCCGATGAAATTAAATATAGAAAAATGTTGGGGAAAATTATACGTATTTATTTCTCTGAATCTAATTTCACACTGAAGTCGTCTCCTAATTCCAATTTTTTTATATAAAAAAATAACTATAGCCCTAGAACTCACACACACATACAATCTTTAAAATGTCTTTTGCTCAGGCCGGAGGTGGGGCTATAAAGGTAAAAATGGAGGTAGAACAGAAATGATCTTGGGAAGATTTGGAACAAATCGTATTTTGGACTGGGGCGTTCCCGCAGTCAGCATTCAGAATTTATTCTGGCTGACAGTTTAGTAGAGAAAGGAGAGGGGCAGAAAAGTAGAAACAGAAAGAGGCATTTCTCTAAAAACAATGTTTGAAGGTAACAATAATACTGTACATTGGATCACTGTTTGGCAAACATCAATTATTTGTATACTATCTTCACAATTTTTGCTACATCACTTAAAAGGGAACCTTTATATCAGTACCATAAATGAAAAATCTGTACAATGTGCTACAAGGGCGTAACCTTGAAGACACAGGAATAAAAACAACAATATTAATAATCTTGGTAGATTTATTTGCTTCCTGGCAAAACCTGAGCCCTTGATGACTGTCTCTTTGTTGAACTGGGAGAGTATAAAGTATTACAAATAAAATTTCTGTATAATATTCAATCACTGAGTTATACATCTGGAACTAATATAATATTGTATGCCAACTGTAATTGAAAAGTAAAACAATTATTAAAAAATAATCACGGAGATGTAAAGTACAGCATAAGGAATATAGTCAGTAATATTGTAATAACTAAGCATAGTGTCAGATGAGTACTAAACTTATTACGGTGATCCCTTCATAAGGTATGTAAATATCTAATTATGTTGTACACCAGAAACTAATATAAAATTATATGCCAACTGTAATTGGAAAATAAATTAATTTTTAAAAATTGCTAGAGCACATGATAGGGTGGGACATTTGATAATGGTGGTGTAAAGAGGTTGGACAATTCCTTCCAAAGAAAACAATAATAAAAAGAGAATAAAAATATTACAAACAACTCTCTGCAGATACCAGGAAATAATCAAAAGCAGGCAGTATTTGAATATTTACATTTGAAAGATGCAAGAGGTAAGAGGTGTGAGTTTGTGGCCTTCTTGACTGAGGGTACTTTCCAACCCACCCCCAGCTCAGGGAGAAAAATTATTGCTGTCTGAGCTCTGGGGTAAAGAGTTCAAAGCAACAGAAAAGCTGGAAATGTAAAAGGGAAATTTTGGGAGCAAGAAAGTCACAAAATACCTGAGATCTAAAATGTAAGAATAGATTCTGTCTCACTGCTTCACTAAAAAACTCACTTTTCACTTTAAAAACTAAATAGGTAAGTAAATAAAATGTGAGTTTAAAGTCTGCCCAAATTCCCAGCTGAGTGTTAAATTATGTAAATATATGTGAGGCCCTAGAAAGGCCAGCTAAAAAGGCAAGCAGAAACTAGGGTGGGGTGTCAGCCATTGCTAGGTGTCACTGTTCTGGCTCTGTGAGGTGTGAGGGTATCTTGTACCTTTGACTAAACGCTTTCCCCAAACTGCATACAGTTTGAGCTTTTGATAGCAGAGGTCTTATAGGCTTGAGAAGGCAGAGGCTAGACTTGGGACTGGAAAGACAAGTGGAAATCTGGGGAGAACCCCTAAAGCAAGGGAACTACTAAGCAGGTAAGCCTCCAAAACTGAATATATATTTTGTCCAAGTCTTCAGCTGAACACTAAACTGCAAAGGCTGGTGTGACCCCCAGGAGTGAGGGGTGGGAGAGGCTAAAGAAGCAGCAATTAGGAGCCAAAATCACCTGTGCATGAACACCGTCCACTACATACCACAGGGAAGACTTTGCTGTTTGGATCAGGCAAATTAACTGCCTTATAAGAACAAAAATCCCCAAAATCTTAAGGACAAAGTATCTCAGAATTGCACAAAGATAATTTACAATGTCCATTTTTCACCCAAAAGTTACGAGATAGAGAAACTGAAAAGTATGGCTCAGAAAAGAAACAGTCCATGGAAACTGATTCTTTGAGGGCCTGCATGTTGGATCTAGCAGACAATGACTTCAAAGCATCTACTACAAATATGTTCAAAGGAAAAATTATATTATTGAGTAAACAAATAGGGACTCTCAATGAAGAAATGGAAACTATTAAACCAAGTGGAAATTCTAAAGCTGAAAAGCATAATAACTGAAATGAAAAAAATGTACTAGATGGGCTCAAGAGAAAATCTGAAATGGCAAAAGAACGAATTAATGAATATGAGTTAAGCATTAGAAATTATCCAATCCAGAAAAGAGAGAAAAAACTGAAGAAAAAGAAGCAAAATGTCAGAGACCTATCGAACTATATCAAAATGTCTAACGTGTATGTGTATTGAGGTTTCAGAAGACAAATAAGAGAAAGGGACAGAAAAAGTACTTAAATAATGACCATAAGACACCCAAATTTTGTGAAAAACATTAATTTACAGATCCAAGAAGGTCAACAAGTCCCAAGTAAGATAAATGCACAAAAAAGCACAAGTAGGCATATCACAATCAAGCTTCTGAAAGTCAAAGAAAAAGAAAATCTTGAAAGCAGTAGGATTAAAAGGGCAAATTGCATACAGGATAACAATTATATCAATGACTGACTTCTCATCAGAAACAATGGAGGCCAGAAGACAGGGAATAACATATTCAAAATGCTAAAAGAAAAAGCAATTGTTAACCAACAATTCTATATCAAGAAAACTGTACTTAAAACCTAAAGTGAGCCCTGACTGGTGTGGCTCAGTTAACTGGTCTCATCCCACAAAGCGAAAAGTCACTTGTTCAATTCCTGGTCAGGACACATGCCTGGGTTATGGGCTTGGTCCTGGTCAGGCACATGTGAGAGGCAACCAACTGATGTATCTCTTGCACATTGATGTTTCTCTCTCTTTCTCCCTCCCTTTCCCTCTCCCTAAAAATAAATAAATAAAATCTTCTTAAAAATCTAAAGTAAAATAAAGACATTCAGATAAATAAAAATGAGAAAATTCACTGCTACTATACCTGTACAATAGGTAATAATATAAGAAGTCCTTCAGAATGAAAGAAAATAACATCAGATGGTAAGGCAGATATAAAAAAAAATGGTAAATATGTGGGTAAACATAAAAGACTAAATGTATATTTTTTCTTTTGTTTCCTTACATTCTTTGAATGCCATAAAACTGTTTAAAGCAAAAATCATAATGTATATAGATATTATATATATGACAACAAAGAAGGAGAGGTAAATGAAACTATATTATTTTAAGGTTCTTCTGTTTTATCTGAAGTAATTCATAATAGCTTTAAGTGGAATGTAATAGGTTAAGCACATGAAAAGATACATAGAACTATGCACCCACTACAATGGCTAAAGTAAAAAAAAAAAAAAAAATATCAAGTAAAGGTTTAGTAACTGAAACTTTCATACATTGCTAGTAGGATGCAAAATGGTATAGTTATTTTGAAAAACAGTTTGGCAGTTTCTTATAAAGTTAAACATACATTTAGCAGATGACCCAGCAATTCCATTCCCAGGTATCTATCTACCAGGAAAAATGAAAACACATGTCCACGCAGACTTGTGCGCAAATGTTCATAGCAGTGTTATTCATGAGAGCCAGGAACTGCAAACAACTCAAATGTCCATGAAATAGTGATTGGATAAACAAATTATAATATATTCATACAACAGAATACTAGACTGCAATAAAAAGGAATGAACTAATGATGTTCAAAATATGAATGAGTCTCAAAAATACCATTGTAAGTGAAAGAAGCCAGACACAAAAGACTACCCATGATCCCATTTATATGAGATGTTAAAAAAGGTAAATCATTATGACAAAAAGCAAGTGGTTGCCTGGGGTTGGGAGTGGGAGAAGGGAACTAAGTGTAAAGGGGCAGGAGGTAACTTTTTGGAGTGATGCTCTAGGTTTTGATTTTGGTGGTGGTCACACAACCATATGCCAAAACTCTTCAATGTGTACCCTCAAAAAAGAGTAAATTTTATTACATGTAAATTATACCTCAGTCACATATGAGAACAACATCTAACATAGTAGCATTGTCTTCTTGACTAATTAGGACTGAAAAATAATTGGTGAAGGACTATATTTAAAGAAAAATTACATAAAACTTGGAAATAAGACAAAGGGAGGGCTGCACACACTTTCGTGTCCTACGGGAGGACTGTTAAGAGGCCCACACAGGGATTACTTCTCTAAGACAATGTCCTTGCGTTTGACTTTCCTACTACTGGCTGAAGGCCCAGATTCTGTGAAGCTTCATGTTAATATGAAGATTTTTGTGTCTAATAGAAATGCAAATGATTTCTATCTAATAGGAAAAATAACCCCAAATGTTATGGGCTTATTGCCTTACAGGAAAACCTGCATCTTCAAATGCTCTTTGAATCAATTTTTTCTGCTATGTCTCTCACCAGTGAGTTGAAAAATTTTGACACAAGTTCACTCTCTAGTTGTATAAAATCATGTCTTTAATTTTTTAAAGTCACATTTTGAAGACTATTATTCAATGTTTCATTTGAGTGTCATTTCAAATCATCTCAGGTACATTGGTATGAGTCATACCTTTTGAGAAACCCATCTGATTACACCTGAAATAAAAACTTGGAGGATTAATTCTCAGTACACTGCACTTTCTTTATAATTTTCTGAGTATTCTGTGTTAGTGACAGGGTTAGGAAATCCCTCCTTTATTTATTTTCTTCTATGTTATATCCTACTTGTAAGTAGTAGGATATAACTTATAAGGCCAATAAGTTCTTAAACTTATAAGGCCAATCCCTCATCCCTTGCTTATTAAAGTCTTCAGAATACAACCCCTTCATAAAAGTAAGACTTGATTTTTAACTAAGAAATCAATGTACTTTGTTTCTTGGATACTTCTTCTTCATCTCCAACTTCATCTTCAGTGACTTCAGATCCAGTTGTATATTCTTCTTCTTCTGAAAATAATGACTGTTGTTTCTGAATTAAGAAACAATACATGTCTTATTAAAAATGTGGTATTATCACATCTATAATGATTTTTTCCCAAATACATTTGTCTAAATTTATTTTTGACTAATGAGCTAAAAGCTGATAAAATGACTACTTCCTAGCACAACATTCAGGAAACAGATATAAGAATTTCTACATTTAGGACAGGATCATATTATATCAAATATTTTTTATTTATTTCCTTCACAGATTCTAGAAGAGTAATGGCACCTAATAGGTACTCAGTGTTTGCTGAATTGTACCTCTATCACTCAATTGAATGAAGCATGCTCATTGATATTAAGGACAAATTAACATACAATAATTGCCAATACTAAAGTAGTATCATAGAGAAGCACATGTGCACGTTCTCTGAATCAGAGGGGCCTTGGATCACTTAAACACCTCTACATCAGTTTCCTGGATCTATCCATCCTACTGTCTGTCATCACTGATCCAAATTCTGACTCCGTTTTTGTGAATACTGATGACAGATGACACAGGAAAGGCAAGCAGGTAAAAAAAAACAAAATCAACTAACCAACCAAACAACCAAATAATTGGAAAGTTCCTATTATAGATTTGTTGCTTTTTTCAGAGACAAAAATAACTTTTAAAAGGCCATTTAAGTAGACTTATGGATTATGCAGCCAGATAATAGAGTATGTGTCTGTTTTAAACAATGACATTTTTAGTAAGTATGAAATTTTAGACACTGAAAAGAGTGATGAGCATTTAACTAAAATATATAAAATCTAAAAATATAATATAAACCTTAATTTAGGAAGAAAGAGATCCATGAAAAGTAGAATATAGTTATTCACTTACCAGTTGCAGAGTCCAGTTTTTCAGTGATAAAAACTATTAAAAAAACAAAAGAATAAGAGATAATAAATCTTCATCTACCCAGATTGAAGCTCCTTCTTTTCATATGGATACTGTAGAAGAATTTTTAAAAATTACAAGTATAGTTCCCTTCCAGGTTGAAACATAATTTTAAACTCAGGCTGAAAAATGATATATTATAATTTTTAATATTCCCCATCTAGAGAACATGTACATGGCTTACCAAAAAGAAAAAGAAAAAAAATTTCCTAGTGTCATTTCCAAAGGACAAGTAAATTACATGTAGATATATGTTCATTTATTTTTGGAACTATTTCAATCACTTTTTAATGTTTATATTTTTGTAAATAAAGGAATAAGATTATATATGGATAGTCAAGAAATCTAATTTGCTATTTTGTATATAATTCATAAAAAATGTTAATAATTGTACACTTATAGCCACTTGAAGTTTAGAACCCATTATACATGAAGTATTTCACTTTCTCAAGTAAATGCCGCCCAACAGAGAGAAAGGCAGGAGGCTACCAGCAAACAGACTCCCTGGTTGTTAGTAACCGGAGTCAAAGCTTTCTGGTCATATTTTAGTTTTGAAATTTTGAAAAAACTAAATACATTCCTGATTACAATTAGAAAAAAAAAGAATTTCATAGCAAAAAAAGTTTATAGGACTAGAAGGGAACAAAATATACCATTCCTACTATCTTCATTACTCAAATCATTATTTATCCATAATAAAAACCCTGAAGGCCATGTTATATTTTACCCCAAATTTAAGTCAATTAGTTACTAATTCTTTTGAGGACAATTAATGTAGCCTATTATCCGTACAGTTCTATTAACTCAGTATAATACCTTGTTATGACCCAGTAGTCAGTAAATACTTATTAACTAAAACTTTCAACTTCAATTTGTTTATCATCACCTGAGGACATGCTTATTGATTTTTAGAGGGAAGGGGAGGGAGGGCAAGAGAGAGGAAGCAAAACATCAATCAGTTGCCTCTCTTAAGCGCCCCAAACCTGCAACGTAGGTCTGTGCCCTGACCGGGAGTCAAGCCACAACCTTTTGGTTTACAGGATGATGCCCAAACAACTGAGTCACACTGGCCAGGGCTCAACTTCAATTTAAACTGATCAGATTTCTGTCAAAGATTAATGTCATTAATTGTTTGTATAAATAAAGAATAAGTGAAACAAGCTACTCACAGCATTGAGCTCCCCACTTTTGGAGCCCCATGGTGTACTTGGCTCCAGTAAAACATCACAGTCCAGACCCTTCTCATCACAGGGACCAACTCCAGAATCACTAGGGAGAAAAAGATATTTTATGAAGAAGTGCTCAATTTCTTAAGAATTTAAATGCAAATGATATCTATTTTATTGCAAATGTTTTATAGTTCGCTCTTTAGAAATATAGTTCTTCATAAACATAGACAACAGCATGGTGATTACCAGAGGAAAAGGGGGGTGAGGGTGGTAGAAAAGGGTCAAGCAGCGGGGGGACTAGTGATGGAAGGAGACTTGACTTGGGGTGATGAACACACAATACGATATAGAGAGGATTATTATAAAATTGTATACCTGAAACCTGTATAATTTTATTAACCAATGCCACCCCTATAAATTCAATAAAAAAAGGAAATACAGTTCTTGAGTATAAGGTATATAACTTCAAAATCTACATTTCTTAATTCACAGAGTGATTCTCCTAGCAGAGATCGCTCCATAGAGGGGAACACCATTGTTTTCCAGGCACCACACTTGCCTGGAGGTGAAACGGGCTCCTATAGTGGGTACTGCTTTGAGAACAGCACCCATTGTAGAAGCTCACTTCAGCAAAAGAAAAAAAAGAACAGCTTTTATTAAAGGGTCCTCCTGCCCTCAACCTGACAGCCTGTTGTATTTGCAAGATGATGGAAGTAACTTCTGAAATTACTGACTTCAAGGAGCTCAAATTTATGCAAAGATGACCTCAACCATCAACTATTTTTCTAGTTGTGACAATCAAGCATTTAAGATGAGCTTAAGTAACTTGAAAAAGGAAGAAAAAAAACACCTCAAAAATTGGATTGCAGATCCCAACCCTGCAATCACCAAGGACTTCTTTTATTAGTTTTTCTTTCTCTGGAAGAGCTCTTCCCATCAAATAAGCACCTGCTTGCTCTTATTTTAAGCTAACATATAATGTCAGTTAAGCTTTCTGAAATAATGTAAACTAAATGAGGACTGACTTTAGTGATTTGGAGAAACACTGGGGGATGGAGGACTCTGAGAGAGGAAACACTGAATAAAGCTGCAGTATATCTCCCCTGCCCTTCCTCTTTACCACCTCCCCACCTCACCTAACGGTGTCTTTAGAAAAAGGCACAACGATGACATCTCGGTGTTTGTGCAGATCATCCAGTGTTCTAGCAGTTGGACAGGATAGCAAATCTCCACCTTCATCTTGATCGCAAAGAGCAACCATGTGATCTCTCACTTTACAACCCTGTGGTACAAGAGACACTAAATTAGAGAGGTTGGTTCATTACAGAAACATTATTTAAAAGATGACTGTATGTTTTTGTTCCTTTTTGCCTGATCATAGCAACCATTTTAGCTCTTCCTTTCCAAGGAAAAAAAATCTCACACAGAAAGGAGCATGAGACATAAATGTACAAGGTCTGTCCAGAAGGTATCCAGCCATGAAAAATAGAGGCATTTATTGAAGAAGACACAAGATACAAGAAACATTGTACATAGGGCAATGACCCCTCAGTCCCCTTCAAAGCAGGCACCTTGTGACCTCACATAGTTCTCCTGGTAGCCATTGGCTCCCCAGTCATATTTTCCTGAATCTCATTGATGGTCTGAAATTGCTTCCCTTTAAAAGGTGATTTAAATTTTGGGAAAAGCCAGAAGTCACAGAGTGCCAAATCTGGGCTGTAGCAGGGCTGAGTCACCTGGGTGATTTGACAGTTCACCAAAAATCTCTGTATGAGACATGATGCATGAGTGGGCACATTGTCCTGATAAAGCTGCCAATTACCAGTTGCCCATAGCTGTGGCCTTCTGAATCATCCAAATAGTTTCTGCAGAGGAATGTTCAAGCTTAACGCAAAATTTGATGCAGATTTATTGCTCTACTCACTCAGTCATTTTGAATCTTATGGCCACACAGTGTGCTTGCTCACTCAATGTCGTCTACCACCCCACTGACTAGCACAGTGAAGTCATCATTGTTCACACGTGCACATTCCTGTCCACTCTCCTTGGTTGTCAGGTTACATCGATGTTGTGCAAACTGTTGTTATAGGAACAGTGGCTGGACTTTTCTGTACAGACCTCATATATCTTAAAAAATATCCAAGAGTATTCATGTTACCAGCATCCACATTAAGAAATAGAGTATCTCCAACACTCCAGGAGTCCGCATGGGCCCGTTCCCCAAGGGCCTATAACTACCTCCATTCTCTGAAAGGATAACCTCTATCCTGACTTATATAGTACTTACTTCTCCGTGCTTTTATCCTTTTACCACTTAGGGATGCATCCCTAAATACTATTGTTTAGTTTTACCTTACTTGTTTGGTTCAACATTATGTTGTTATGATTCAGCCAAGTTTTTACATGTAATGAACCTTTGTTTTAATATACAGTATTCCTTTGTATGAATATATACAAATTTATTTATTTTACAGTTGATAGATGGGTTGTTTCCAGTTTGGAGCTATTACAATAATATTGTTATGGCTCTGGCTGTTGTGGCTCAGTTGGCTGAAGCATCTCCTGTAAACTGAAAGGTCACAGATTTGATTCCTGGTCAGGGCACATGCCTAGGTTGCAGTTCAGTCCCAATCAGAGTGCATGCAAGAAGCAACCCATCAATGTTTCCCTCCCTCCCTTCCTCTCTCCTTCCCTTCCTCTCTAAACTTTTCATAGATTATAATTCTCTGACAAAAATTTCTAAGCTTGGCTTTTATTAACTTAAACTAGTTATCTTATTTAATTTATAGTCTATATAAATAATTCTATGATTTGTTTTTGTGTCTTAAATTCTGCTATTCCCATTCTTGGTAACTTATTTTCATCTATGCCAGGTTATCTTTGAATGCTGAGTATTTTGTTAAAAAATTGTTTGTAGAAATAATTTGAGGTGTAGAATAATGTTATCTTTCTCCGAAGAGGATTTTTACTGCTCTTCTGGGTGCCTAGGGACAGTGGCAATCCAGGATTACCTTAATCCAATTTTAGGGCTTGAAATATTCTAGGCTACCCAAATAAATCAAAGCCAGGCTACTGTCCAGGCAAGGAATGGTTTACTTCTGATTTACTCAAAGTACAAGGAAATGAACATTAGTCATTATTATCCCAATTATTGATAGACCTTGGACCCTGACTATTCCCAAAAATCCTGATAGGGCACCAAAAACTCAGCCCAGCCTCTCAGTCATTCTTTCAGATTAGCAATCACCTCCAAAATGGCCTTGTGTGCCAGCCCACTCCTTCATCCCCTGTATCTTTCCACTAATTCCCCATTATGTCTTTCATGCTTTTAATATGATCTTTATATTTCATTTACCTTTTTAAGTTGCCTTTTGATGGGAGGATTGGTCTGGATTACTTAGCCATTATTGGAAATAGAAATCACTATATGAGTTATTTAGATTTCACTTAGCCCAATAAATTACCTCAGTAAATATCCATGATGTCACACACAAGATTTATCATACAGTTTAATTACTATATATTCCTAAATCCTCTTACAATGAATGGAATATTAGTAACTAATGTTTAACTAGTAAGTAGACAAAAGAAACCGAAGAGTTACAACTTTAAAAAGTATTGTTCAAAACAATGTGGTAGTTAAAATAAAAACATCATAACCATAAAGAACTGCAAGGACTAAAAATCATGTTACCACAAGTACATAACAGCAATCATAAATTAACAAAATTTCTTGGGCCTGTCAAAGTTAATGCTCTTTTGCTTCAAGTCTCATGCCTAAACAGTACTGCATGCAAAGTGTTAACTAAACCTTGGATATGAACATTATGGCGGTAATCTATTACCTCACTAATAAAATTTCTGAAAATCAAAATTGGTAATTGATTGCAAAAATAACAAACATTCCTAATCCAAATTAAATCCTATGATCCATCATTTCAGTAACATTTATGCTAATATCCCAAATTCCTGGCTCCTAAATTTCCTCATACCCATCTGGCAAAACCCCAACTCTGGATGAGCTCAAGCACCCATTTTCTCCGTGCCTGGAGAAAACTGCTGGCGACAGCAGTATAAGAAGGTATGTTGCATTTCACTGTAAGTTTATGATCAGCAATTTTCACTGATTCTAGTAAACTACAACATTTATCTGGAAGATGCACTGTTCTGTTTTCCAAAACACTATTTCAAACCTTCAATACTTCCTCTGAACCTTGAAACCTTCCCTCTTACCCTCATTCTTAGCAGACTGCTTTACCTTCTACTTGATAGAGAACGGGAAAGGCATTCAATTGGAACAATTTATCATCAGTGAGAAAAATACAATTTTACTGATGTCGACAACCAGCCAGCTCTTCTCTCCTGTTGCATTTAGAGGAGCTTCCCTTCCTCCTGTCTATACAGATGCTGCCACTTACGCTTCAGGTCCCACCCTGCCCCTCCTCACAAACATCATCCTATCAACCTCTCCTCACTGGATCCTTCCCACTGACTTTTAAAAAGTTCTTGCCTATCAAAACAAATAAAACAGAAACAGAAACAAATACAGGTCATTGATCCATCTCCTTCCTTTCTCAAATTTCCCAAAAGAACTGCTATTCATCCTGCCTCCATTTGTTCTTCCACTCACATTTCAGCCCGTATTAATCTGACTTTTGGATCCATCACACCACCCAAACAGCTCTTCACACCTATGAATTCCAGGTTACCAAAGCCAAAACACATTTCTCTCATTATTTTGACCTCTTAGCAATATTTGACATTGCGGACCACTCTCTTTCTTTAAACACTGCTCCCTTGGGGGTGGGGATGGGATGGGTGGAGGGGGGTAAAGGGGGACAAACTGAGACAACTGTAATAGAATAAACGTGACTTAAAAATTTTTTTAAATTTTTAAAAAACCCTAAAAAACAAAAAACAAACAAACAAAAAAACCCACTGCTCCCTTGACTTTCAGGACAACATTCTTGGTTTCCCTCCTATTATTCTGGCTCTTCCTGATTATTCTCCTTTGTAGGTTCATGCTTCTCTATCTAGCCATTAAATGTTGGAGTTTCTCAACGTTGTATTATAGGCCCTCTGCTCTTATGCTCACCGATACTTGATGGCTTCAATTATTATTCATTTGCAAGAAGACTTACAAATTATTATCTCAAGCCTAGCCCCTTCTCTAAAACCCCAAACCCCTGTATTTAAAACTCTTTGACTGATTACCTCATAGAGCATCTCAAACCCAAGATGTCCAAACAGAATTTGTGAGCTTCTTTCCAAACTTAAGTCCCTTGTGTTGTTTCCTCCTCAGTGAATACCACCACCATCAATCAAGTGGCACAAGCATGAAACTGAGTCATTCTTCTCCCTTTATGATACAATCCATCAATCAATTTTACCTCCTATATATTGAGTCTATCCATTTCTCTTCATCTCCACTACCCTGGTCTAAGCTACCATCATCTTTCTCTAAGATTACTATAATAACTTCCTCTTGGTCCTAATTCCACTGACTGTTTCTCAAGCCATTCTCCACACTGCAACTGATAAAAACTTGAAATGAAGAAAAAAACTCAAACATGGCCTAGGAGTTCCTGCCCCATCATGGCCTGACCATCAACTTGCCTCTCCAGCTTTGTCTTCAACTATGCATTCTTTTTTTTTAAATAACAGTCATAGTTTCTTTCAGTCTCTTACTCACCATAATCCTTTTGGGCTTGATGTTTGACTGGAGGGCTCTTTCCCTTCCTCTTCCTCTCAAATACTCCCACCCACCCTTTGGATCTCAGTGAAATGCCAAATCCTTAAGAAGGTATTATCGGCTTCCAGACAAGGTGTAGGTAGATACACTTTTCTTTCTTAAACAACCAAAAGAAGGACAACAACTAAATCAAAAACAAAAATAATTGGAACTGCCAGAAAATTGAGCTGTATGGAAGTCCAACAACCAAAGATTTAAAGAAGAAACATTCATCCAGACTGATAGGCGGGGAAGAGACAGGCAGCTGGGCAGCAAGGTGGCGGCTGGCAGACCGGGCAGGTGAGGCAGTGGCTGGCAGACCGGCTGATCCCACATTCGTGTGAGGGATAAACTGGGAGGAACAACTAGGGAGGGAGATAGACCATGCAACCCTGGGTTTCAGCACAGTGAAATAAAGCCTAAGAAACTCTCATAAAAACCTGTAGGGGTTGCAGCAGCAGAAGAAACTCCCAGTCTGACAGGAAAGTCCATAGGAGGGATCCATGGGGACCCACAAACTGGGGATCAGCACCAGAAGGGCCCAATTTGTTTGTGGGCAGTGGGAGAGGTGACTGAAAGTGGAATGAGAGCTGAGCAAGAGGCACTGTTCCTTCTCTGACCCTTCCCCAACACATAGAACCACAACGCAGTGAAGTGTGTTGCCCTGCCCTGGCGAATACCTAAGACTCCGGTCCTCACAACATAACAGGTGCACCAAGACAAAGAAATATGGCCCAAGTGAAAGAACACATCAAAACTCCAGGAAAAGAACTAAGGGACAAGAAGATGGCCAACATATCAAATGCAGAGTTCAAAACACTGGTAATCAGGATACTCACGGACATGATTGAGTATGGATGCAATATAAAGGAAGAAGTGAAGGTATAAAAAGTGAAATAAAAATATACATGGAACCAACAGTGAAGGGAAGGAAACCGGACTCAAATCAACAATTTGGAACACAAGGAAGAAATAAACATTCAACCAGAACAGAATAGAGAAACAAGAATTCAAAAAAAAGGAGGAGAGGCTTAGAAACCTCTGGGACAATTTTAAATTTTCCAACATCTGAATCATAGGGGTGCCAGAAGAAGAAGAAGAGCAAGAAATTGAAAGCTTATTTGAAAAAATACTGAAGGAAAAGTCCCCCAATCTGGTGAAGGAAATAGACATGTAAGTCCAGGAAGCTCAGAGAGTCCTAAGAAGTTGGATCCAAGAAGAAACATACCAAAACACATCATAATGAAATTACCCAAGATTAAAGATAAGGAGAGAGTCTTAAGAGCAGCAAGAGGAAAGGAGAGAATTGCCTACAAAGGAGTTCCCATAAGACTATCAGATGACTTCTCAAAAGAAACAGGCAAAAAGGGGCTAGAAACAAGTATTCAAAGTCATGAAAGGCAAGGACTTACATCCAAGACTACTGTAATGAGCAAGGCCATCATTTGAAATGGAAGGGCAGATAAAGTGTTTCTCAGATAAGATAAAGTTAAAGGAGTTCATCATCACCAAGCCCATATCATATGAAATGTTAAAGGGACTTATCTAAGAAAAGGAAGATCAAAACTATGAACAGTAAAATGACAATAAACTCATAACTATCAACTGAACCTAAAAATCAAAAACAAAAACAAACTAAGCAAACAATTAGAACAGGAACAGATTCACAGAAATGGAGATCACATGGAGGGTAATCAGCAGGGAGCGGGAGGGGAAGGGAAGAGAAGAGGGGAAAAGGTACAGGGAATAAGAGGTATAATTGGTAGGTACAAAACAGACAGGGGGAGGTTAAGAATAGCATAGGAAATGGAGAAGCCAAAGAACTTAAACGTATGACCCAGGGACATGAACTAAAGGGGGGTGGTGAATGCAAGAGGGTAGGGAGATGCAGGGTAGGTGGGGATAAATGGGAGAAAAACAGTGGGACAACTATAATAGCATAAAAAATAAAATATACTTAAAAAACAAAATATTGTCATGTTGACATGTAATAAATATTAAAATATTTTTTAAAAGAAGGCAATATCAGCCTATTACAGACATTTATGACCTGCATACTTCTTCAAACATTTTTTGTATACCCTTTCCCTTTTGATATTATTGCCTGCACTGTGAGCTCCATGAAGACAGAAACTATCTAACTTTATACTTTACCCTCTGCCTTGTACAGTGTGTGATACAACTGTGGTGCTTTATGTCTAAGGCCATACCACCATGGATGAGCCTGATTTTGTCTGACATTGGAAACAACTTTGGTGCTTTATAAATACAGGATGGGGCAAAAGTAGGTTTACAGTTGTAACCATGTGAAACATAGTGTTTATTCTTTTATTATTATTTATGAATTCTTATATTATTTTCCATACAAACAACTGTATTTTTACTTTTCCCCCACTCTTATTTGTTGTATGAATGATGATGAGGAAGAGCTTTAGGTTCCTTTCATTACTCATGAAATTTAATTACATAACATTTTCAAAAGTGTTAGTAATTGAGGACACTAACCTACAGCAATACTCACGTACTGCACCAAGATGTATGTGCAATGATGTTCATTGCAACACTGTAATACTATCAACCCTACCTTTATGTGTTACCTTTAGACTTTAAAAACAAAAAGAGGAAAAGATTTAAATAAAAATTATTAGTGAGCACTGTAACTACAAAGAGGCAACACTGAGCATTTACCCTTGTAAGCTGAGTAGGATCAAACCGGAGAACCTTTTGGTTGCAGCAGGGATAAATTCCAGTGCCCGCAGTACTCAGTGAACTTGCTGCAGGAGGATAAACCACTGCTTCTGAATGATATTGACAATGTGAAAATTCTATACAGAGAAAAACCTGAATAAAAAAATATAAAATCAATAATCCATATTGAAATTTATATCTCTAAAATACTTTACAGGACCACATATTTTATGTTCTTTTACATCAAATGTACAGAAATGGCAAATCTTTAGAGACACAAAGTAGATTTGTGGTTGCCTGCGGTTGGATATAAGATTGGGGAGTGGCAGCAAATGGACACCGGGGTGATGGGGAGATGAGGTGATTGGATGGTGGCGATGGTTACACAACCCTAAATTTACTAAACTGTGTACTTAAAATAAATGACATTTATGGCATACAATTATGCAGCAATAAAGTTATTAAAAAGCAAAAACAAAACATGTTACTCAAAATTCAGATGAATTAAATTGATCTTGATGTACATCTAATTTTACAATTAGCCAATCACATACAAAGTTTTCAATGAAAATAATGAACTAATATTTTGCCTCAATTATTCTTTGACATATTTTTAAGGTAAGTATTTAGCATTAGTATTAATGAAAACTATGAAGTAACTCTGAATCATTGGTAAAAGAACTTACCAAGGTTTAATTATACAAGTAATAAATTTCAGATGTTTATAAGTTGATAAAATAACTTAAAGACAATAACAAAATTAATAATTTAAGCACTGATCTTGAACACAAAGGCAAAAAATGATAGTCTATAGTCAGAATTCTTAGCTGCTAATTTGTTTTGATTTTTGAATGACTTTTAATTAAAATTTTTGTCAGATAAAAATTATAAGGTATACACTCATGCACAAAGTATTGTGCATACAAACTATTTTTGAACTTATGAACTCTCCATAATAAATATTAACTGTTATAAATCAAATCAATATTCAATTTGCTATCCTCTGACATTCTATGCTCTGACATGCTAAACAAATCAGGTTTTAGAAGCCTGATATCCTTGATTATAAGTGATACTCAACTGTGAAAAGGACCACTTACACACCTATTAAGTTAAAAAAAAAAAAGCTAACTTGACAATATCAAGTGCTAGCGAAGATGTGGAGCAACTAGAACTCTCATATGAAGCCGGAAGGAATGCAAATTCAGGGACTTAGGAAAACTACTAGGCTTACATTTACCATGCAATCCAGCGATCTTACTTCTAGGTTATTACCCAAGAGAAATTAAAACCTGTAGTCATATAAAAGCCTGTAGAAAATGTTTATAGTTGCTTTCTTTACAAAGTCCTTCACTGGTGAATAAACATTTCAAGTTCACTTTGTTAAGTGGTAGAAAAGTTGGACTCAAAAAGTTAAATATGGTATAATTTTAGTTGTCTGACTTTCTGGAAAAGTCAAAATTATAAAGGCATTTAAACAGATCAGTGGTTGCCAGAGTCTGGGGTAGGAGAAGGAACTGACTATAAAGGGACAAAAGAATTTTTGGGGTGATTGAATTGGTCTATATTTTGATTGTGGTGGTAGTTACATAACTGTGTTTGTCAAACCTCATAAAAGAAATTAATTTTACTGTATATAAATTTTACTTCAATAAATCCAATTTTTAAAAATTGTGGGGACATAGGGAGTCTATAGGGTATAAAGCTCTACAGTTTGAGAAATCTCACTCCGAAGGTTTTAATAAGGAGCTCTTCCTTCCTCTTACCAAAAATCATTACTCAAGTGAGAGAGGAAAATTACTGCGGGCAGAGAGACATTAGGAATTCATAAAAATTTTTATGTAGAACAGTCTGGATTTATATATAAGACTAACTAGGAATGATTGTGACCTACAAACATCTATCTATCTATTCTATAAAGGCTTTATTATAGGTACCTTTAAATGGCAAGCTTTCTTGTGCTTTTATTACAGACTTCATTAATTAAAAAATGAAAACAAACTCTTTTGGAACACAACTAGTATAACAAGAAGGGCACATATCAATAGCACCCTCTCTGCAAAGGTGTTTCTGGATTTCTAAAGAAATGTATAGGCTAACAGAGAAGCATGGGCTGGAAATAACTGAAGGCAATAAGAACTCAGAATTTATTTTTCCATTTAAAAAAAGTATTTGGTCACTTAAAACCTGTTGGTATTTTAAAAATTTGGCAAGTTACTGATTGTTTCAACAATGAAAATAAAAAGGAAGAAGAAATTTAGCAAGAGAAATTAAGTCAGATGTAACCAATGTTTAATAGCATCACTGTTTTTACCACTAATTTCTTAAAAAGATGTCAGATATTGTCAAAACACATCCAAACACACTAATTGAACAGCATATATCTAAAAAGCCTGCTCTCAATGTTTGCAGAGTAGGATGTTTTTAAAAAACTTACCTGACAACATGTCGAACAAGTTAGCCAGTTGACTGTTCCCCACAAGCGCCAATATACATCTCTCCAAGATTTTAATTCTTCAAAAAGACTATTCAAATACTCATGAACATCCCAAGTCTTATCTCTGGGGAAAGAGCCTCAATTGTATTATTTTACAAGCAAGCAATAGTAACAATTGTTTAGAGCAAATGTTTTTAAATGTGTGGCCTATAACCAAGAATTTTCCCCAAATAATGGGATGAGCTACACTGAATGGTAGATAAAATTTCATTTTGGAGTCTGTTTATTCCTTTTTTTCCCCCCTGTGGATAATAGGAAAAGGTATAGAAGGTTGACTGCCAAATTATTTTGCTAAGCCACATAAAGGGTTATAAATTAAATATAGTTTAAATAGACTAATGTTTGGGACTTCAGCATATGTTGCTTTATTCTAATTGTACATATTGTATAAGATGTAATTGGTGATTCTAAACAATTCCATTAATGTGTTAGTTCTTTATATTATTCTCAAAAGTCATTTTCTAGTAATTGAGTAATAGAGTAATATACAATCAGCTCTTGGTAATATACATTTTTAAGTTAAATAAGATAAACTTTAAAAATATCAAAGGCTTAAATCCCTATTTGTTATAGACATATGTAATTCAAGTTCCCATTTTTTCCAAGTCCCTCAATCTTTTCAGACTTTTGTTATTTTTATCCTTAGTTCAACAAATAACAAAATACCATCATGTTATTACAAATTACACAGGCATATGTTTTAAGTTAAAGACAATTTTAAAAATGTTATCAATAGCTGACCTGTTGGAAAATACTTTGAATAAAATAAAAATGGATGTTGAAGTTACTACCGATTTTCTCACATAGTTACCACTGTCAGAATATATATAGACTATATGATTGTTATTACTATCAGAATGGACATAATTTTTTAAAGGTGAATCAAGTCTCAAGCCAAAAATTATGAAGTCCCAGGTGCTTACAATAACTAATAAAGATTGCCTGGTTATTGCATGGAGATAAAAATATAACATTTTAAAGTTGACTGTGCTATTCATATTAGCAAATATGTTTCTCTGTACTTCTGTTCTAATGTTTAAAATATGAACTCTAACATTTGTACATTTTTAATACAGAAAAAAGAACAAGTAAAAGAAAATTAAAATCATCCATAATATTACCACTCAAATGTACCACCACAGTTAACATTTTAGTGAACATGTTTCTAGTTTTGTTCTTTTCACTTAATTTTCCACTAAAAACTTTATATGTAGGTATATATTCCTTTACAACATTATTCTCAAGGCTACACATTAAGAATTGATTAGATGTACTTTATACACATATAGTATTGTATGGATATATTCTAGTTTGTTTGGTTATTTGGGTGTTTCCTTTATTAAAGTATAAACAATATAGCAATAAATATCTTTATTAAGTGCTTTCACTACCTCTTTCCTAAATTCTTAGCAGTAGGATACCATCAGAGAATATATAAGAGCGAGGTGTGTCCACCAAGTATCCAGCCATGTAACATTAAAAATAGAGACATTTATTCAAGAACACACAAGACACAAGACACAAGACATACTGTACATAGGACAATGTCATCTCAGCCCCCTTCAAAGTAGGTACTTTGGGACCTCACACAGTTCTCCCAATAGCCATCAGCTGACCAGTCATATTTTCCTGAATCTCACTGATGGTCTGAAATCTCTTCCCTTTCAAAGGTGATTTTAGTTTTGGGAAAAGCCAGAAGTTGCAGGGTGCCACATCTGAGCTGTAGGGGGGTTGAGTCACCTGGGTGATTTGATGGTTTGCCAAAAAACTCTGCATGAGAAGTGATACATGAGCAGTCACATTGTTGTGAGGAAGCTGTCAATCACCAGTTGTCCCCATTTGTGGCCTTCTGAATCATCCAAATAGTTTCTGCAGAGGAATGTTCAAGCTTAACACAAAATCTGATATGCACATTTATCGCTCTACTAGCTCAGTCATTTTGAATGTGATGGCCACACAGTACACATGCTCACTCTACAGTGTCTACTGCCTCCACTGACTAGTACAGTGACATCATCATTATTCACACATGTGCATTCCAGTTCACTCTTCTTGGCTGCCAGGTGACATCCATGTGGTGCACAACGTTCTTGTTATATTAACAATGGCTGGACTTTTTCTGGACAGACCTCATATATTTTAAAGTTTTTGCTTTTTTGAGACATACCATTTTACAACACTCTCCCTGCAACTCAATGAGAACTGGTTTTCAACTTAAAGGAGAATAAAAAAGAACTATGTATTAATGGAATACTGACAAAATATGAAGAATAAATAGATTATGGAAAATTCAATTTTATTATTTTTAAATTACATTTTATTGGTTATACTATTACAGTTGTCCAGTATTTCCCCCTTTGCCTCCTCCATCCCCCACATTCATTCAGGCAAACCGCACACCACTATCCATGTCCATGGGTTATGCATATATGTTCTTTATTTTTATTTTTAGAGAGCGGGGAGGGAGGGAGAAAGAGAGGGAGAGAAACATCAATGTGTGGTTGCCTCTCATGCGCCCCCTACTGGGGACCTGGCCCACAACCCAGGCATGTGTCCTGACTGGGAACCAAACCAGTGACCCTTTTGGCCAGAGCTCAATCCACTGAGCCATACCAGCCAGGGACATATATGTTCTTTGGCTACTCTGTTCCCTCTGCTGTACTTTATATCCCCATGACTATTCTGAAACTACAAATTTTTACTTCGTTATACCTTCACCTTTTTCGCCAGTGCCCACTGACTCACCTCCCACCTGGCAACCATCAAACCATTCTCTGGATCTATAATTCTGCTTGTCTGCTTATTTTGTTTTTTAGATTCCATTGTTTTTTAAGTATATCTTATTGATTATGTCATTAGAGTTGTCCCAATTTTACCCCTTTGCCCAACTCTGCCTGGTACCCCCCATCACTCCAGGAATCCCCCCCTCCTTAGTTCATGTCCATAGGTCATACATGTAAGTTCTTTGGCTTCTCCAATTCCTATACTTTTTTATTTTACTTTTTAGAAAGTGTTGTTCAATTACAGTTGTCCCCATTTTCCCCCCATTACTCTCTCCTGCCCTGCTCACCTCCCACCTCCTACATTCAATCCTCCCTCCTTGTTGTCTTTGTCCATGGATCCTTTATACACGTTCCTTGACTTGATTGACCCTTCCCTCTCCCCTTACTGTACTATTCTTAACACCTCCTGTCTATTTTGTACCTACCAATTATGCTTTTTAATTCCTTCACCCTTTCCCCCATTCTCCCCCTTCCCCCTCCCAGCTGATAACCCTCCAAATGATCTTCATACCTATGATTCTGTTCCTGTTCTGATAGCTTAGTTTGTTCTTTATTTTTTAAGATCCAGTTGTTGATAGTTGTAAATTTGTTGGTTTTTTATTTTTTAAAGATTTATTTATTCATTTTTAGAGAGAGGGGAAGGGAAGGAGACACAGAGGGAGAGAAACATTGATGCACAAGAGATACATCAGTCACTTGCCTCTTGCACACCCCCAACTGGGGACCTGGCCTGCAACCTAGGCATGTGCCCTGACTTGGAATTGAATTGGTGACCCTTCTGTTCGCGGGACAGTATTCAATCCAGTGAGCCACACCAGCCAGGGCTGAATTTGTTGCCTTTTTAATGTTCATAGTTTTGATCTCCTTTTTCTTAAATAAGTCCCTTTAACATTTCATGTAATGATGGTTTGGTGAAGATGGACTCCTTTAGTCTTTCTCTTGCCTGGAAAACAATTTATCTGACCATCAATTCTAAATGATATCACTGGGCATCCTAATAACTAGTGCTTTGAACTCTGCATCTAGTTGGTTGCTTGTCTCCATTTTGTTTAGTAGAGTAACCTTTGTTGTAGGTCCTTACTTTTCATCACTTGGAATGTTTCTTGCCAATCCCTTCTAGTCTGCAGTTTCTTTTGAGAAAGCAGCTGACACTCCCTTATAGGTAACTAACTGTTTTTCTCTTGCTGCTCTTACGATTTTCTCTTTGTCTTTAACCTTTGGCATTTTAATTATGATGTGTCTTGGTGTGGGCCTCTTTGGGTCCATCTTTTTTGGGACTATCATGCTTCCTGGACTTGTATGTCTATATCCTTCACCAAGTTAGGGAAGTTTTCTGTCATTATTTTTTCAAATAGGTTTTCAATTTATTGCTCTCTATCTCCTCTTTGTAGCCACACCCATGATGTGAATGTTGGTTTGCTTGAAGTTGTGCCAGAAGCTCATTACACTATCCTCATTTTTTGGTGGATTCTTTTTTCTTCTCACTGTTTTGATTCGGTGTTTCTTGTTTATCCAAAAATTGATTTGATTCTCGGCTCCATCCACTCTACTGTTGATCCCCTGTAAATTCTTCTTCATTTCAACTAGTGTATCCTTCATTTCTGACTTTTTTTTTATGCTTTCTTCCCATGTCCTTTTCAGTGCTGTTGAAATTATGTTTGAATTCATCTACTCTTCCCCTAAGTTCATTGGGCATCCTAATAACCAATGTTTTGAACTCTGCATCTAGTTGGTTGCTTGTCTCCATTTTGTTTAGTTCTTCTGGAGTTTTGTTCTCTTCTTTCATTTGGACCCTGTTTTGTCTCCTCACTTGACAGCTTCACTGTGTTTATTTCTGTGTATTAGGTAGAGCTGCTATGACTCCCTGGTTTGGTAAAGTGGCCTAATGTAGCAGGTGTCATGTAGAGTCCAATGGCACAGCCTTCTCTATCACCCAAGCTGAGTACTCGAGGTCGCCCACCATGTGGGCTGTGTACACTCTCCTTTTGTAGTTAAGTTTTGATTGCTGTTGGCAGGTCAATGGGAGGGATTTACCCAGGCCAATCGGCTGCAAGGACTGGCTATGACTGCTGACCACCAACCTCTGACTACTGTGCAGGATCAGCTGTTCAGAGGCCACTCCACACAGCAGGACTTAGTTCAGTAGGGCTCTGGTGCCCACTGAGTTCTCCCCTTGAGTGTGTCACTTGTGGAAGTGTTTCGGTAGTGGTGCTCCAATGTGGTCTGTAGCTGTCCAGTGAGTGTGCAGGCTCTGGTGCTTCCCAGATGGTGCAGGCTGAGGTCAGCCACTGCCTGTGTTCTGTCTGGGGCCACCTGGCATAAGCTAGAAAGTGATCTGCAGAAGGCTGCTAATTGTGCGGGGCTTGGAGGTGCTCAAGTGAAGCCAAGCTGTGAATCAAGGCCAGCTGCTGCTAGTGGTAGGCCTGGGGCCACTTAGCAAGATGTGCAGGGTTTGCTGAGGCCAGATGCTGCTTGTTTGAGAGATTTAGAAATATCTGAAGCATGAGCCAAGACGTCACTCATATGGAAAAGCCACTGGAAACAGCTTAGGTAGGCCTGAAAACTGGGTTGGATGGACATTCAGGGAATCACTGGGGGTGGGGCAAACAGTGTGAACCTGGTTAATGGAGTCTCAGATATGGTACCTGCCTGCCAGCTCTGTGTGGGGGTGGCAGTGGGGTGAGGGCTCTGAAAAGGAACAATGGCCACTGCCAGCACTTGTGTCTGGAAGAAAGCTGTCCACTGTCCCTCAGCTCTTGCCCCGACGACAGACACTTCAGTTCCTCCCCATATGCTTCTGGTACTTTTTAAGCTGCTGCCCTGGTGCTAGAGCTCAGAGGGAGTAAGTCTGAATAAGGCTGAGTATGGGCCCTTTCAGAAGGACTGCCTGGTAACCCAGAAGTTTCTGTCTTCTACAGCCTCAGTCCCCACTTTGTTTTTACAGCTAGAAATTACGGGGATTTATCTTTGTGGCACTGGAACCCTGAGCTGGGTGTCTGGTGTGGGACTGGGTCCCCTTGCTCCCGAGATATCCCTCCTAATTTCTATCTGCTACACGTGGATGTGGGACCAGCCCATTCCATGTCTCCACCCCTCCTACTAGTCTCAATATTGTGGTTTCTTCTTTAATTCTGTCATTGTAGGACTTCCATTCAGCTCAATTTCTGGAAGTTCTGAATAATAGTTGTTCTGTAGTTTAGTTGTAATTTTTATGTGATTGTGCAAGGCAACAAGCTTCTCCAGAAAATTCAATTTTAAAGACAATTTTCCTCACTTACCAATATTCACTTGAAAGTAAACTTGATTCTCTTGTCAAATTCAATATAACATTTATACAAAATCTGTTAGTGCAAAGAAATAATTTTAATGGTACTGATCAGATTATCTTTTGAGGTAAATGCATGACCATTTTCACTCTTTTAAAACTTAAAAGTATACTGATATTTACCCAATTAATAAAATATAGCTTTTAAAACAACTTTGTTTTGAAAGTAGCATCTTTCTAAATCAAAGCTGGATCACATGCAGAAAATATATCCTATTCCTTATTAGGAGTAGTTACGCTTCTATAAATACGCTAGTAATTTCTATTTGAAAAGCTGTATTTTTTTCACTATACCTTATGTGAATGTACACAATATTTCCATGTCGATCCACATTGATTTTTCCAGGAATGCAAGGAATTCTCCTCTCTGTTTCTTTAGTTAAAAGTTTCTTACACAAACAGCATCTATGACAAAAAAAGATTTAAAAACACAAGAAAAAAAATTTTTAATGTAGTAAAATAAAGAATTTAGCTGCATCATATAGCCTACCATGGAAAAACATGTCACCATACCTGTATAATGTTGCTGCATTATTCCGAGAATCTGGATTTAAGTACTCAGGATCAAATAGTCTCTCAATCTTCTTACAAAACAGTTTACTATTAACAACAAATGATCAACAAATTAATTTCCCCTACCTACTTTACTAAAGTTATTTAATAGCAATGAAAACAAATGCTGATCTATCGGCATATATAGAAAATAAGATTAATAAATCCTTATATGTATTAATTCTCTTTAGGAATACACAATACAGCTTTAGTGTTCTAAGTAAATAAACCTTCTCATGACAACTGCTTGATCACGGATCTATTTTCACAAGAAAAATATGACTGAAATATTACCTCTCTTTTAGTCTTTTGTTACCAGAATATTCAAAATTGAAGATTTTGGAAATTTAACAATTCTGGGTCTACTAATAATGCAGTCTGTGATCTTTAACAACTTAATCTCTCTAACGTTTTTTTCTCATTCATAAAATGGGCTTAATAATTCCAAATTCATAAGTTTTTGGGAGGATTAAATGAGATAATTTTTTACACAATGCCAGACAAGGCATTAAGCATTCAATAAATGTTAATACTTTGTTTTCATGCATGAAATGACTGAACATTAAATCTTCTAATTAATTAATGCTCATTAAACTAATTGTCATTTATTCCTAGTTTACTGTCCTGTCTCCTTTTTCCCTTATGTAATGTTTGCTATTAAAGGCCAGATCCAGATTTAGGACCCTGGTCCATTTTTAAGTATTTAGCTCTTAGATAATTCTCCTCTGTCCCACTTACCTTAAGGACTAAACTTTGGGATCACCCTCATACATTATCAATTCCTCTCACTCTCATGAATCACCCTGGTCAGCAAATAAACATAATCTAATATTTCTTTCCTTAAAAAAAATGTTTTATTGAGCCTACCTATCCCCAATTGCTACTACTAAATTTTTCAGCAATTGTTCAGAGCAAACCATCTGGAAAAAAGTTAACTAAATCCAACTGGTCACATCTCTGTCCTCACCTTACTCGACATGGTGGCAGCATTCTACTCATTTGATCACTTAATCACTCCTTCCTGTTTGAAACTCTTTTTCCTTCAACCCACTGGTCCCTTCTCAGGCCCCTTACTGGTGTCACTCCTCTATTGAACTTCTAAATGTTGTATAGTCTTTACTGATACTCTCTTGCTAACAATTAGAAAGTTAAATAAATAAAAAATAGATTTACAGCAGGACCCAAAAATCAAATGTCCAAGAATAAATTTAATAAGAAATGAAAAAAACTCTCCACTGAAAATCATAAAACATTGCTAAAATAAATGAAGGGTTATACTATACCATGTTATGGACTGAATGACTTAATATTATTAAGATGTCAAATTTTCATAAATCTACAGGCTCAATATTAACCCCAAATTATTCTAGCAGGTATGTGCGCATGTGTGTATGCAGGAGAGAGAAAGATAAAATGGGTAGGCTGATTATAAAGTTTACATGAAAATTCAAGAAACCTAAAATGGCTAAAACAGCAATCTCCAGGAAAGGAAAAGCTGGAGAATTTAGATACCAAAAAATATTATAAAGCTACTACAATTAAGACAGTGTGCTACTGACAAAAGTATCAAAGAAGAAGTCAACAGAACAAAATGGAGAATTCACAAACAAAACTCACATATATATTCACCTTCAATTCAGTGGAAAAAGGAGGGCTTGCTAGGAAATCTCATCCTGTTCCATGTTTTCAAACCTCATCTACTCTTACATTTCTATTTTAAGCCCTGACCTTTAACCTGAACTTCAGACTTGTATATCCATCCTGCCATCCCACCTGATGTTTAAAAGTATATTAAATATATATTAAATAATTTTAACATGAGCCAAACCCAACTCTCCATTCCCCTCACCTCAGTCTTTCCACTATCTGTGAATGACACTACCATCCACTTAGTTGCTCAACCTTAAAACTTAGTAATTACCCTAGCATATTCTCCCTTCCTACACCATTACATTTGAAAATCTGTCAACGGTTTCTTTGTTAAATTGTATTTTATTGATTATGCTATTATAGTTGTCTTGATTTTTTTCCCCCTTTGCCCCGCCTCTACCCAGTGCTCCCTGCTCCCTCAGACAATGCCCCACCATTGTTCATGTCCATGGGTCATGCGTATCAGCTCCTTGGCTACTCCATTTCCTATACTATACTTTACATCCCCATGGCTATTCTGTAACTACCCGTTTGTACTTCTTACTCCCCTCAACTCTTCACCTATTCTCCTCCTGTCCCCTCCCATCTGGCAACGTTCCAGTAACTAACTTCTTTTCTCTTCCTTTTAAGAGCCTCTTTATCTTTAACCTTTGGCCTTTTAATAATGATATGTCCTGGAGTGAGCCTCTTTGCCTCCATCTTGTTTGGGACTCTGTGCTTCCTGGACTTGCATGTCTATCTCCTTCACCAAATTAGGGAAGTTTTCTTTCACTATATTTTCAAGTAGATTTCCAATTTCTTGCTCTTTCTCTTCTTCTGGCACTCATGAGGCAAATGTTGGGCCTCCTAAAGTTGTCTCAGAGGTTGTTTATACTACCCTAGTTTTTTTGGATTCTTTTTTCTTGTTGTTCTGCATGGTTGTTTTTTGCTTCCTTATGTTACAAATCATTGATTTGATTCTTGGCTTCATCCACCCTACTGTTGTTTCCCTGTAAATTGTTATTTCAATTAGTGTATCCTTTGTTTCTGACTCGATCTTTTTTATGCTGTTGAGGTCCTCCCTAAGTTCTTCAAGCTTGCTTATAACCAGTGTTTTGAACTCTGCACCTGATAGATTGCTTATCTCTATTTCGTTTAGATCTTTTTCTGGAGCGTTGATTTGGCCTTTCATTTGGGCCATGTTTCTTTGTCTCCTCATTTTGGTAGCTCCCTGTGTTTATTTCTATGTATTAGGTAGAGCTGCTTTGACTCTGTGTCTTGGTAGTGTGGTTTAACACAGTAAGTGTCCTGTAGGGTCTAGTGGCACAGCCTCCCCTATCAGCCAAGCTGGGTACTCGTGGTTTGCCCTTTGTATGGGCTGAATATACCTTCCTCTTATAGTTGAGCCTTGGATGCTGTTGGCAGATCAGTGGGGAGGGATATACCCAGGCCAGTCAGCTACAAGCACTGCGTGCAACCACTGATCACCAACCTCCGCCCTCCACATAGGATCAGCTGTGCAGGGGCAGGATGGTGGTACTCTGACTTGGTCTGTGGCTGTCCACTGGGTGCGCTGGCCCTGGGGTTTCCTGGGTGGTGCAGGCCAAGGTAAGCCCCTACCCATGTTTTTCCCAGGGCCATCCTGACTGAGCTGTAAAACAATCTGAGATGGCTGCTCCTTGCCCTGGGTTTAGAGATTCCCAGATGAAGCCAAGCTGTGACTTTAATCTAGCTGCCTCTATATCTCACTGAAGCCAGCTCTTGCTTGTTTGATAGGATTTAGCAGCCAAGACCAGCCATTCTTATAGAAAAGCAGCTTGAGTGGACCCATAAGTTCAGTGGGGTAGAGCTTCTGTAGATTTCCAAGGTGGGTCACACAGTGTTAGCAAGACTGACAGTCTCAGATAAGGCACCAGTGTACTGGCTTTGTGGGCGTGGAGTGCTCAGCAAAGGGACAACGGCCTCTCTTTACCCTGATACCAGACCCTTCAGTCTCTCTCTGTATATCACTGGTACCCTTCAAACTGCCACCTCAGTGCTGGAGCTCAGAGGGAGCGAGTCTGAGTAGGTGAGTCCATGTGTGGGTTTCCCAAGAGGAACTACTTTGGGCTCCAGCAGCCTCCTCTACTGACTCAATCCCTGCTGATTTTTGTAGCCCGAAGTTGTAAGGACTTATTTTCCTGGCACTGGAACCCTGGGCTGGAGGGGCCTAGTGTGGGTGTGGGACTCCTTGCTTCCAAGATATCCCTCCTGAATTTTTATCCACGTGGGTTTGGGGCCAACCAGTTTCACAATTGCGCCCCTCCTACCAGGCTGGATGGATATGGTTTCTTCAATTCCATAGTTGTCAGACTTTCATTCAACTCAGTTTCTGATGTTACTGATTGATGGTTGTTTTATACTTTAGTTGTAATTTTGATGTGGCTGTGCAAAGAGGCGAGCCATGTCTGCCTCCGTTGCCATCTTGAATGGACTGTCAACTCTTTCTAATAACCTACCATAAATCTTTCTACTTCTTTCCAGCTCCATTTCTTCCACTCTGGTCCCAACCCTTTTGTCTCTCACCGGACTACTGCCTTAGCTTCCTAATAGGTCTCTTCACTTCTTATTTCCTTCAATCTATTCTCCACATAGCAACCAAAATGATTTTTTCTTTTTTAGATTTTAGTTATTTATTTTTAGAAAGAGGGGAAGGGAGAGAGAAAGGGAGGGAGAAAAAGAGGGAGAGAAACATTGATTGGTTGCTTCTCATATGCACCCTGACTGGGGACCTGCAAACCAGGCACGTGCCCTGACTGGGAATTGAATTGGTACTTTTCACTTTGCAGAATGATACCCAACCAATTAAGGCACACCAGTTAGGGCCAAAATGATTTCTTAACAGATCAGATCATGCCACTCCTCTGCTTCCATTCATATTTAGAATAAAGTATATACTCCTTGCTATGCCTAAACAGCCCCTAAATGATATGACCACTGCAGACCCCACCTCACACCACTCTTCTCTTTTATACTAAGGCCTATCTTAATAATTTTTCACATAATTCACTGCCACAATAAGCTTGTATGTACATTAGACAAAATAAGTAATTAATTACTAATTTTTACCTTAAGCTATTGGCTCTGGATAAATTTTACTTCATTTATAATAAAATGGAAATATATTTCTAAATATAATCTACTAAATTTTACTAAAATGAAATAGAAATAATATATTTTTTCTAATAGAGATACTAGATTTAAAATTAAAAATTACCTCCTAAACTTATCTTTCTTGTCCTTTAAATCATCAACTTCATTGTGTGTGAACAGATCAGCTATACGTGTAAGAAGATTTGCATTAATACAATTCATGTTGCATGGGGTAGCTACTATGGCATTCATATTTTTGTGGCAATACTGAATACACTGTTCAACCTAAAAAACACAGAATAGAAAATGAATGATGAAAATAGTAGCATGAAGGATAATGTCATATCAGTATCTTCCAAAGATAAAACTCATTAAAAGCTTTATACATGTATGGCTAGGTACTGCCTGGTTTTTCCTTTTTGGGTATCTACACTGTTCCAAAGTGTCCCAGTAGGTCAAATTCGTGCCAACGTATATACATAGCTAGAAAAAATCATTTCAACCTTCTTAAAGATGCAGTGAGCATCTTTCATGGTTGTGGTAGATATAAATCTTAGTCCACAATCTCAAGTGTACAGGATATCTGACTTTCTATCACTAAACTTAGTTACAATTTTAAGTTTCTGTTTCTCTGAAGTAGCACAAAACAAAGTACCAGTCACTTCAGGGATTTCTCAGACCTGTTGTGGGTGGTCTCTGACTTCCCTTTCTCTAACCTGAGGGTATTATTTATTTACTTTTTGAGGTGGATTTGGGTTCTGGGGAAAATTAACATTGTTTTCTTGAAAATGTTTTGCTTATAGCATAAAAATTATCCTCCAGGGCTTAGATTTCAAAATGCAAATATTAAGGACTACTTTTTTTTCTGTAACCTTTCCCTGAAGCAATTACTATTTCTCTGAAGCAACTGAATGGGGGAGGAAGTAAGGAGGAGAAAGAATAGACAGAACTAGTAAAACATCAAACTATCGAATAAACAAACAAATTTCACATCCATTAACATAGCAAAGGAGTATTCTGCCCTGTGTAGTTTTATTAGGGACTAAAAGCAAATATTATTTACAGTAAACCCATACAAACACATAAAAACATTTGAATGATAAGTTCATTAAATAAAAAAAGTATATTTAATGTTAAAGCTTGATATGTATATACATTGTGCTTTTATGTTTAATCAACTACTCTTAAACAATAGATATGAACATTTGATTTACACGTACAAAATCATACTGTTTAATAGTTGGGTATTCATTCTTAATTTGTTGACCTATAAATGAAAGACACAAATTAGCATTAAGAAATTACTTAAATAGTGAAACAAATATATTCCAATTAGTTTTCATTTAATTTAGAGCAAACTTGCTTTTAGGGTAAAGTTAATTCTGTTTAGTTTCATCTAATGCAAAAGAGAGCTACTCCTTGAGGATAAATTGCTTGCTTTATAGGCATCATATACAAATGATAGATAGTAGCCTCCACACCTTTTACAACAGAACAAAATATCTTCAATCATGAGCAGTTTATTCTAATGGAATCATTCTTGAATTAACAATTAATTCAGAAAGATGCCTTAGAATTTTCTAACATTTGAAGGAAAAATCAAGTTAAATGTTAAATCAAGCATGGGTGAACAGAAAAACTTAAATCTTTATTAATACTTACCAATGAATCCATTTTCAAAAACTCTGAAGAAATAAGAATTGAAATGGCATTTCCTGGCTCTAAAAAAAAAAAAAATTAAATTCTCCTTTTGAATTGGACCTCAATCTCCTTAGAACAGTCTCTTTTTCCAATTAAAAGAGGATGATACTTTAATAAGAACAATTCAAGATAAACTTACTATGGTTTACATATATCAAAGAAAGAAAATTCAATGTTCAAACTTAGGGTATAGAGAAAGTACAGAGTAAATTGTCCTGGAATTAGTCACATCAAATGAAAGGACTCTAGCTAAAATAAGACATATGCAAACTTCTTAACTAAACCAGGAAAGACGATAATTAAAATTAAGAATACAATTCATCATACAAAAATCAGTGTGAAACTTTTTTAAATGATTAATGAGAGTCCCTGTTATTAGTTATTTCAAAAGCAGTTCAATGCTTGTTATGAACAAATTCTTACTGAAAATAATTCTGAAAGATAATATAAAATTTATACTTCCTGTAGAAGTACTAAAGTTACTTCCTGAAGGCAGGCTGAGTGAGCCTTCAGAGGCATAACCAGGGAAAGGGGTATGCCAGCTAATGCTACTGTTTTAGTGAACCTAAGTCATGTTCTATGAGATATATTTAAGAAAAAAAGAAACCCTCTGATTTCTGCCATTATTGTACTAGAACATTCCACCTCAAGAATGATACAAACAATGATTAAAATAAGTACTCCAATCTTTCCTTAAATAACAATTCTAGATTAAAGAGTCTCAAATAGAAAAAGTTCCTCAGGAAATTGTAATATGACCCATTCCAGATAAGCAATGTGTGGATTATCAGAGATTTAATTAAGCACTTTGGTAGTTTTCTAGGTTAGAATAAACATTGCTTTTATAAAAGTTTACGTTTCTATTCTCTGACTTAAAGTCGAAGATGCAGTGACTAGTTTTGCTCTACTCCTTTTACCTTTATTATACATATAAATGTGCTGGATCAAACAATAGTTTTTTTCTCTCTACGTATTTTGATTTTTACTTCACACATATATATCTGGATGGTGTGAAATCCCTGGACTCTGATTGGCTGAAATGTTTGATTTAACCATCTTGTCATTTTTATTTAAGGATTGCTAGCAGCCTTTCCATTAAATTTTATAATTAAAATGTAATAAATTATAAATTTGCTCAGAAAACTTTTATACTGTCTGCATAGGTTCATTTACTAATAAGAGTTAGAAATATTTCGGTTCTGCTATAAACAGCAATTCTAGTGCATGGAAAGACTTTATTAAATCACTAGTGAGAGTTCCCATATAACTCTATGCCCAATGAAAGATTACTTAGTAATTACTCTTCTTATCATCTAGAATAGGTTCTCAAACTTTTGCTCTCAAGACTGCTTTGCAATCTTAAAAACTGAAACTCCTAAAGAGCTTTTGTTTATATGGATTATGTCTATTACTATTTACTATATTAGAAATTAACACAGAAAAAATATTTATTAATTCATTTAAAAAGAATAATAATAAACTCATTATGTGTTTATATATTTTTATGGAAAGTAACTATATTTTACAAAATGAAAAAAATTATAGTGAGAAGAATAGCACTGTTTGACATTTTTTCCAAATTTCTTCAATGTCTAACTTAATAGAAGACCACTGGATTCTCATATCTGGTTCTACATTCAATATGGGAGTAGTCGTCTTTGATGTTACGTCAAATTTTGGCAAATGGTACTTCCTAAAGGTTAGTTGTAATGGGATCTGAGATCATATCAATAAACTTTTCTGTTATGTTACCTCAAAACCCATTGATTTATCTTGTGATTTTAATCTTTAACCCAGGTATGATTGTTTTAATATCATGCATTGGTCATTTGGAAAATACTGGTTCAACGAGTTATGTAAACCTTCCAAATGTTTAAACATTTCGTTGTACAATATATGAAAAAAAAAATCACAAGTTTCATCAGAAAAGAATTTAAATATTAAGAACCTGTCAAGCACATGAAAGCACATAAAAGTTTTCCAAACTTTAATTCTCACTACTAGCAGTTGTTTCCCTTTAACTGGTCAGCTCACTCAATTCATTTTCAAGAAAATATCTGCCAAATGCCTAAGTTTAAATAACCATAATTTGACTGTCAGTTATTCTTTCAAGTGAAAATGGATTTCTTTTTTTAAGAAAGCAACTAGGTTAGCTTGCAACTCAAACAACTGCCTAAGTGTTTCTCCTCAAGGCCACCACATACTTTGGTGTGCAGCGGAAGTGCACTTTCAGTGTCACCTCACAGAATATTGAAAAGATGTAAGCTCGAGGGTCAAGACTTAATTAAATTAAAATTTTTCCAGCTTCATCAAGGGCATTCTTAAGTGAAGCTGGATTTTCCTCTTTTTTTCCTTCTGACTCGGAGCACATGGTGCTGAAGAATACAGTGACTCCTAGTACAGTTTGCTGACCTAGCCCTCATGTGTTCTAAAAGTGCAATAGTTTTGCCTTCCTCTATTTCTGCACCACCTGAACAAATGTCAACATATAAAGACAAATTATATCTTGTGTATTATTATGCAAATTGCCTTGACCTGGTAGATTCTCTAAAAGGATTCTCCAGGACTCCAGTACCCATGTACCATAGAACTGCTGATCTAGAGACCTGTCCAGTTGCCATACATACATTATAATTTACTAAAAAAGATGAGGTATCACTTTCCTAAAGGGCAATTACTAATCTGAGTACAAATACTAATGTTCAAGCAATTTTCCACATTTCATGTTTGGCCTGAAGCAACCACCAGGTGACACACAAATTTAATGATTACAAAATAAGTAATAAATTGTCTTTTACCTAAAGTGGGCATCTCACAATCTTTATTCTCCTTAGTGTTCCTTTTAACATATTTTATCAACCAGTTGAAAATCTGAACATCACAATGAACTGAAATGTCCACCTCTTCCCAGCGCTGGGCATCCATAGATAAATATTCAGCAAAGTACTTCATTTCTGATATCAAAAGATCTCGTGGGCAAATAAAATCTTCTTTCAAGTTTTTTGCTTCATCACATACATGGATCACCATGTTTGGCCTTCATAAAAAATGTTACACAGAAATGAAATTACTAAGAGTTTTAGAAGAAGAGCCAAGCATATTGACATATTTTTGAAGATCTGACCACAAATCAGTATTATAGGATTTAAGTGTCTTGCTAATCTGATCCATATCTTAGGTGGAGCAACTAGAATAAAACAAACAGAAATATTTTTACTATGGGACTTATAATTTATAGGGTTTAAATACAGGGTCCGGCAGAAGTAACACCTGCTTGAGTGTGTTTGGTAGCAATATATATGGGTATAATAATTTATAGTTTTAATTTAAACATTCACCTAAAATGTCATATAGTGTGCTTGAGTGTGATATCGTTATGTGAGGAAATTACACGCCTATGATTTTGTAATAAAAGATTTTGTATTAAAAAAGGGGTGTTATTTGTGCTGTACCCTGTATATTATTTTCAAGTTATAAGTAACTTATAAAATTCTAGAAAATACCAATTCACCAAGAAAAATTATATAATACATTCTAATTCTTGTGATGAACATAAAACAGCACTTTTACATGACTATGGGCCTGGGAAGGAGATAAAGTTAAATATTAAAATTTTCTTACTAGTAATAAGTAGAAAAAAACACAGTTAAAATTATTCATTAAAGCATAAAAAAATTAGCATGGCAACTTACTTATTTTTAACAGCAAGAAAGTTTGCCAGGCATTCACTAAATATAAATTAGTAAATATAGTTAAAGAATTCTTTAAGACTTGAATGTGGTTATTTACATATTTTAAAAATAATTTGAAGATAAGTTTAGATAATATATCAGAATGATTCCTTTGAGATTATATACTCCTTGAATTTACTATCCCTTGAAAATTATACTACCTCAAAAACAAACATTTGTGTGATCCACAAGTGCCTTCATGCCATTACAAAAGGAAGAGATTAGATAGGAAGAGATACACTGCCATACAATACGAATTTAATGTGTGTTTAATTCAACTTGATAAATTCCTAATAAAAAATAACATTTGTTCTAACCACTACGCTGTATACCTGAAACAAATATAATACTGAATATCAACTGTAATTGAAAAAAAATACTGAATGTCAAATGTAATTAAAAACGAAAAGTAAATAAATAATTACATTTGAAATAAAATTGAGCTACCAGAAAAAGGATTATTAATCAACAGTCTGTAATGTCAAAGGAACTTAAATAATTCTTTGCAAAGTGTTCTTCCAAAGAAATTATGGTCAAAGTATTAACAGGTAATTACTGGTACAATGAAGCATAAAGTTTCTGTGGTTTTTTGGACCACAATATAAAATAATAATTCCAGTAGAGAAACTATCTGATAAAATTTTTCTGCCATACAAAACTATCAATTAAAAAAATTATGTAAAAAATTTATGTGAATAAACAAAAATTCACTTTAAAAGGGTGATTTTTTTTATTGTGGTGAAATATACCTAACATAAAATTAGCCATTTTAGCCATGTTAAGTGTACAGTTCAGTGGCATTAAGTACATTCACACTGTTGTGCAATCATCACTACCATCCATATCCAGAGCTTTTTCAAAAAAGGTAAATGTTTTGGTATGTACATTATATAGTAACAAAGCTGTTACAAAAGAACTATCTAACTGAAAACACACAAAGAGACTAACAGAGACAATGAAAATGTTCTATATCTTCATTTGGATGATGGTATCATGATGAGCCCATTTGTTAAAACTCATCAAAGTGAATACTTAAAATATGTGCAGTTTATTGTACGTAAAATATATAAAACTATCAAAACTTGCAATATACTGAAAGATGTATTCTAATTTTTATTATATCCAAATATATCATTTAAAAATACATATCCAGTTTTATAAATAAAGTTGGAGAACTAGTGACAGATATTTCTTTGGATTTTAAAGTTTATTTTTAAAGTTTTATGTTAACAGATGTTATTTCTAATATTCACAAAATGAAAATGAATTTTTAAAATGAAAGACTAGTCCAGTTTATAAATAACACATATAAGCCATGTTTAGCTATTAAACAATTATTTTTAGTTCAACACATGAACTAAACTGATTTCAACTGTTACAGCAATTGTGTAATGTGATATTTCCTAAATTATGGTAATTGATGTATACAATCACCAATCATATATTTTATAATTTAAAGCTGATATTCATATTAAATCTTATCTAGCAAAGAACCAGCCTCCTACCCTTCAGATTCTTCAGTCTTTTCTCCACCATTACGAGTAGTACAATTTTCACTTTCTGAAGAACAATTCCTTGTGGAAGCTATACTATGTCTTCCTTAAATACAGAAACAACAAACACATACAAAAACAAAGGGGGAAGTTAGCATTTCTAGCTCAGAATGGGTTTTCACTTATTGAATGGTTATACTGTAAATGCATGGTTCCCAAGGCTAGTTAAAGATAGTACTTTGGCAGGTGGCATTTCCCTCAACATTTCCAAAGGTCTATGGAAGAAAGAGTCCAAAAAAGGGATAATAAATTTCTAACATTATAATGAAGATTTAAAAAAATACTGATATGCTGTGTATAGACAGGGTCAAATGCTCAAGAGCCAACAGTATAAATTTCTCTTCTTGAAGTAAATTTTTACATCAATACTCAGACTGCTATTGCGGAGATTAAAATAACTCCCTATGAAGATTTCTAAAACAAGCTATTATTTCCAAAGCAATTGCAGAAACATCTCTTCTATCCTGCTACTGTGTCACTTAAAGCTGTTGTTAACTGCAATAAAGTATAGCTGTAAAAAGATAACACAAGAAACAAGCAAGATTCTCTTAGTAACAAATAAACAAACAAAAATAAAAAAACAACTTAGGTAACAGGTATAGGTCAAATTCCAAAATTTATGACACAAGTAGGCTAACAGATTGGAGAAGTAAGGGGCTTTTTTTTGTAAAAGTATTTGACCTGTATATTAATATTTAAACTTTTTTGAAATATAGGAAAGACAAATTTCTAGAATTTAGGAAGATATAAATACTAATAGATTTTTTTATTACTGTTTATATTAGCTTTTAAATAAATAGATAAAAATGACTAGAATACATAATATTTTGCAGAATTAAAGAATGAGCACTGCATTTTGTTTTAAAACCTCACCTGTTTTGGAAACTGCATCCTGACCAGCTGAAGTCCCCTGATATTCTCCCTGTGTGTCAAGAAGTGAGGATTTGATATATGTGGCTAGAGTTTCAACAGGACTCTCTCCAGCCATTAGGAGACTATATTGGTTGTCAACAGGTGAGCTTCCACTGCTCTTCAGTTCCTCAAACCTTTTTGCACACTGTAATGACATGAAAGGAAGAAAATGCGGGTCTGGGAGTTTTTTAAATTTAATAGTGAGGAGCTATATTTTTGTCTACCATTGAGGTATTTGAAGATACTTTTCTGTAATTATAATTTTTAATTTTTTTTTAATTTTAGATAGAAAGAGGAAGTGGAGGGCACAGGGGGTGGGGGCGAGGGAAGAGACATCAATGTGTTGTTCCACTTATTTATGCATTCATTGGTTGATTCTTGTATGTGCCCTGACCAGAGATCAAGCAAGCAACCTTGGTATATAGGGATAATGCTCTAACCAACTGAGCTACCTGGCCAGGGCCTATAATTACTTTTTGTAAGTGAATATTAATCCATTGGGTAACTACTGAAAAATGAGCATACATTGCAATATATAAGATACTGACTTATTTTTTAAAAAATTCAGGGTAGAAATTTTTTAAAGTACACTTTAACACAAAGCATAATATGTTTATGCTCTTATAGGAAAATGAAGAATGTCTTTATCAGCCATATTTCCCTGTGGTGTGCTTCTATGATCAGTTGACAATTTGAATAACTTAGTAAAAAGTTTTGCTAATATTTTTATATTAACTGAGTGTCCACCAGGAATAAGACCAAATTCTAACCTTCAGTGGAAACAAAACTAAAAAATATCTGCTTTGTGACACCAAATTTTATCTATTAAAATAACAGAAGACTTTGTTCCTACTAACAGTGAGGTTCACCTTGTACAAATACTTCATTGTCACATATTTGGACATAGTTTGTTCTAGTACAGTGTTTTCCCTTAACCCATTAGTTAGTCATGAAATCAACTGAGATGGTCCAGATTAGCAGTTTACAAAAATAAAACAGAATGGATTAGAAAATACTGAGTGGATTAAGCTAAGTACTCCTTCACAAAAATGTCATTTCTCTGTGTGTTCTGGGTCATAACATAAAATGCCTTCTTTACTGTGGGTATTGATCAAACAACACATCTGTTTTTGCTACAGCATCTGTTTTTAAATCTCATCAACATCAAAGTGGATGGTAAATTCCATAGAAGATTAAGTAACCTGGGGGATGCAAAACAGAAAAATATATACCACATGTGTGTACATTTTAAATTAATAATACATTGGGTATGGCATCATCCATTTATTACATAAATAATTAACAAGTACCCACTAAATATTACGCACTATTTTCAGTAAGCATTATTTACACAGTTACTAAAAAAATGCCTACTCAAGCCTTTGAAAAGTGAACTAACAGTTTTTTAAAATGGCTTTAAAAGAAATGTAAGTGTGGACTGAAATATTACATAATCAATATTCTCATCTCTTTAAACTCTTAAAATTAAATAAAAATAAGTAATATGATAAATGAGAAACAAAGAAAGTATTTTTTATGTGTACTGAAAAAAGTAGTGTTGAAAGTATGGGGAAAAAAAAAACAAGTGCTAGAACATCATTAGAAATACGTACAGGTTCACATGTAGAGGATATAGAATGTAAATGATATATAACTTGATCCATTTTTCCTACAAAACGAGTTTATTTTTTGTAACACAAAGAAAGTGGAAGGTTAACTTTTAAAATACAGATTATTTTGCTCTTTTAGGTAAAGCTTATAGCTTATTTGGAAACTGAATATATACTTATCTTATTTAACAAAGCTTACTGCAATTTCTAGTAGTTTAAAAACAAGAAAATTATAAATTCTGGATATTTGAAATGAATACATAACTGCTTAAAAAAGCAAATTAATTATAAATAATTTAAAATATATTGTTAAATTTTTTTGTATTTAAGCAAAAATTACATATCTATGTGCAAAAGAATGAGGTTGGACCCCTACCTCACACCATATACAAGAATTAGCTCAAACAGATCAAAGACTAAATATAAGAGTTAAAACTCTAAGACTGAAAAATATACAGGTATAAATCAAGTGAGAAGAATTTTCTAAGTATGACAAAAAAGGTAGATATCAGAGTAAAATATTCATAGATTTTAACATAAACTTCTAAACATTTGAATATAAGTGGCTATTATAATAACTTAATAGGTTGAAAACAAACAGAAAAAATAAGCTAGATCAAGGGTTAACATATTTTATACACAGAAAACTGTTATTATACCAGTAACAAATTCACAAATAGAAAAAGGACATGGAACAATAAAATATAAAACATTTAACCTCTTCAAGATTTAAAGAAAGGTAAATTTAAACTGCAATGAGATAACATTTATTAAAAAAATACATAAATGAGCCCTGACTGGTTGGGTGTCACCCTGCAAGGAGAAAGGTTGCCAGTTCGATTCCCAGTCGGGGCACATGTCTGGGTTGCAGGTCAGTTCCTGACTGGGGCACATACAAGAGGCAACTGATTGATATTTCTCTCTCATATCAATGTCTCTGTCCTTCTCTTTCATCCTCCCTTCCACTCTCTCTAAAAATAAATAAAATCTAAAATATATGTATGAGACTTTTGAAAAGACACACATAGACACATAAATAATACTTCTGTAGAAACTGCAAGGATCAGGCACTGAGCTATGCTGACTAGGGTACAACATGAATGACACTGCTGGTGGGCAATATGTAACAAAGCCTTAAAAATGCACAAACCCCCTGATCAAGCAATTCTGCTTCTGAGATTATCCCCTAAAGAAAGGAGAATAAGATATTTATTAAAGTGGTATTTATGGTAGTAAAAGTTGAAAATAATAGCCTAACCAACAAAAAGGACTCATTCAGTAAATTATGATATAGTTCAAATAATAGAATATACCATCCAATGTAATAGAAGTCTATTTATTAACTGACACATAAAGATGTTTACAACATACTAAGAAGCATGCAGCAAAAAAGTATATTTGTTTTAAGTCCACATTAAGATGTCATAAATATATAGAAAAGAATCTGGAAGGATATATACAAGGTATATACTTTAGGTGGGGTGAAATTAATAAATTCTGATTTTTTGCTATTGCCTTTGCAGGTGTACATTCTTTAGGACATGTTATGTTTAGTCATAAAAATTATTTAAAAATTAACACTACTTAAAAATAGCCTGATTCATCATGTAGTTGTATTTTGGTTAAAAAAAATTCTTGACTTTCAGTCTAGATGGCAGCATAGGTAAACACATTCACTTTCTCACACAACCACACCAAAATTACAACTAAAATACAGGACAAACATCACTCAGAACCGTCAGAAATCAAGTTGAATGGAATTCTGACAACGAAATTAAAGAAACCACGTCTGGTAGAAGGGGCGCAGACACGGAATGGGCTGGTCCCACATACATGTGTGGTGGGTAAATATTTGGGAGGGATATCTCCGGAGTGAGGAGTCCCAGATCCACACCAGGTGCCCCCACCCAGGGTTCCAGTGCCAAAAGATGAGTCCCCACAACTTCTGACTGCAAAAAACAGTGGGGACTGAGTCAGTGAAAGAAACTTCTGGAGTCCCAAGCAGTTCCTCGTAAAGAACCCACTCATGGACTTACTCAGACTCACTCCCTCTGAGCTCCAGCATCGGGGTAGCAGCTTGAAAGGCACCAGTGACACAAAGGGCAAAACTGAAGTGTCTGGCATCAAGGCAAGAGCTGGGGAAAAGCTTTCTCCCAGACAGAAAGACAGGCAGAAACCATGATCTCTATTCTCAAGCCTCCTTCAACAAGGCCATGGAGCCAGCCTACAGGTGCCATATCTGAAACTCCATCAACCTGGCTAACACTGTTTGCCCTGCCCTGGACATCCCCTGAAACTCTGTCCCACTCAACTGCAAGCCTGCGTAAGCTGCCCCTGCACAGCTGATCCTCCACAGAGGGCGGAGGTTGGTGGTAAGTTCTCACAACCAGTCCTTGCAGCTCACCGGCCTGGGTAAATCTCTCCTATTGATCTGCCAACAGCGGTCAAGGCTCAACTACAAAAGGAGGGTGTATTCAGTGCACACAAAGGGCACACCTCGAGTACCAGGTTTGGGTGACAAGGAAGGCTGTACCACTGGATCTTAAAGGACACCTACTACATTAGGCCATGTTACCAAGACAGGGAGTCATACTATCTTTCCTTAATACATAGAAACAAACACAAGGAGACTGCCAAAATGAGGAGACAAAAAAAAAAAAAAAAAACATGGCCCAAATGAAAAAGCACATCAAAACTCCAGAAAAAGAAATTAAACAAATGGAGATAAGCAATCTATCAGATGCAGAGCTCAAAACACTGGTTATAAGGATGCTCAAGGAACTTAGTGAGGAACACAAGAGCATAAAAAAAAATCAAGTCAGAAACGAAGGGTATACTAATTGAAATAAGAAACAATTTACAGGAAAACAACAGCAGAGTGGATGAAGCCAAGAATCAAATCAATGATAAAGAACATAGGAAGCAAAAAACAACTGATAAAAGCAAGAAGAAAAAAGAATAAAAAAAAAATGAGGGTAGTACAAGCAGCCTCGGGGACTTCAAACATTCCAACATTCACATTTAGGAGTACCAGAAGGAGAAGAGATGGAGCAAGAAATTGAAAACCTACTTGAAAAAATAATAAAAGAAAATGTCCCTAATTTGGTGAAGGAAATAGACATGTAAGTCCAGAAAGCACAGAGAGCCCCAAACAAGATGGATGCAAACAGGCCCACTCCAAGACACATCATAATTAACATGGCAAAGGTTAAAGGTAAAGAGGGAATCTTAAAAGCAGTAAGAGAAAAGAAGTTAGTTATCTACAGGGGAGTTCCCATAAGACCGTCCGCTGATTTCTCCAAAGAAACTATGCAGCCCAGAAGGGACTGGCAGGAAATACTCAAAAGTCATGAAAAGCAGGGACCTACAGTCAAGATTGTTCAACCCAGCAAAGCTATCCTTTGGAATCGAAGGGCAGATAAAGAGCTTCCCAGACAAGAAAACACTGAAGGAGTTCATCATCACCAAATCATTATTATATGAAATGTTAAAGGGACTTATTTAAGAAGATAAAAACTATGAACAATAAAATGGCAATAAATACAAATCTATCAACAATTGAACCTAAAAAAACAAACTAAGCAAACAAGTGAACAGAGACAGAATCATGGAAAAGGAGAGCATTTTGATAATTGCTAGATGGGAGGGGTGGGAGAGAATGGGTAAAGAGGTGAGGGGATTAAGGAGTACAAATAGGTAGTTACAGAATAGACATGGGGATGTAAAGTACTGTATAGAAAATGGAGTAGCCAAAGAACTTACATGAATGACCCATGGACATGAACAATGGTGTGGGGATTGCCTGAGGGAGTAGGGGGTACTGGGTAGAGAGAGGCAAAGGGGGGAAAATCGGGACAAATGTAATAGCATAATCAATAAAATATAATTTAATAAATCCTCAATAGGGTGAATTTGAATATGCAGTTGATATTAGATGATGTGGTGGAGTTAATTTTCTTAGGTTTGGTTGTTGTACTGTGGTTATGTAATAATGTCCTTATTTTAAGGAGGTGTATGATACAGTCTATAATGTAAAGTATTATGATGTCTGAAACTTACTTTTAAATGCCACAAAATACTACATAAAGAGATCAAACAAATAACTAAAATTGCCAAACCTATATTAAAGATACAGAGACGCTATTTTATTCATCCAACTTTTAAATTCTAAGATGTGAAAATCCTAAAGGTGAAAACGTATAAATTAGGGAGTGATAATATACTCTAAAACATAAGTTTCAATGTCATTTCACAAAGACTTAAAACGTAACAGAGGATAAGTGATCCCTTGGGATGCTGGGTTTTTTTCAGCTGTAAAAAAAGAGGGTGTAACTTGGTTCATTCACCAGTTCCACAGTATTTATTGAATGCATATGATGGGTTAGACAAGGTGAAAATGCTTCAAACATACTGGGGAAAATCACTGATGTCATGTCTACTTTTAGAACTTTGAGATGATTCACCCACTGCAAAAATTCTGTCAGTGTTTCTCAAACCTGGGTTCATGGACAAATGATCAGAAATGGAAGAATTCCCTATAGAAATGTTTAGATTTTAAGTTTTAATTCTGAGTATATGAACATTAATAAAATCCTCTAGATCATCAGGATGACAGATTATTTCACGCCTATCTCCTGTCTATTTATAACTCAGGCTGTACCAAGAAATATTTGTCCAAAGCCAATTTTAAAAAAGGATAAAGGTAGGGAAGGGACTTATAGAGGAGACATGCATTAGTGTCAAGGGAAGGCAAGTAATGTCATTGTGCAATGTAAGGCTTCATTAGTAAGTTAAAGAGAGAAAAGTAGAGAAAGAATGAAGGCTTCGAATGGCACATGGCAGTAATGAATGAATGCAAAAAATCTGTGCCACAGACTACACAATATTTATGTAATAATCAGCAATTTAATTTCAGCAAAACACTAAACTTATCACATTAAGTAAGCGTTATTAGTTTGAATTGTGTTGCTTTTAGTTTTCACTGGTGTCTATAATTTGTAAATTAGGTTTATGGTGGTATAGGTATGTGGTATTGTTAGAGCTCATTTACTGTACATTATAATAAAATAATTTAAGTCAATATTGGGAGTTTTAAGTTTTTTCCTTTAAATAGTCTGAATATTATTCATAGCATTAGGGGTTTAATAATATAAAATATTATTTACAAAAATTTTATCTACCCATAATTTCACAGGAAAACCTCTATTAAGATATTGTGAGCAAATTTTCAGTTGTATAAACATGTAAAACAAATCTTTTTTTCTCTTTTACTATTTGTTCCTTGAAATTCATAATTTTTGCCCTGGGCAGGTAGCTGAATTACTTAGAGCATTGTCCAGATACAAGAAAAGGTCACAGATTCTATCTCCAGTCAGGGCACATACAAGAAGCAACCAATGAACGCATAAGTGAGTGGAACAAATCTCTCTGTCTCTCTGTCTCTGTCTCTCTGTCCCATTCCTCTACCTTCTCTCCCTCTCACCCTTCTTCTCTCTCTCTAAAGATCAATAAAAATAAAAATTTAAAAAGTGGTTAAAAAGAAAGAATAAAGAAATTGATCATTTTTTCTGATTTTTTCCAGGAGATACCAGTGGGATTGTTATTTACCTCCTTGGGTGTTAACCCAGGCACAAGCCTTGCCACAGTTTCCCAGTTAATGGTCTGATGGATTCCAATTAATGGATAAAGGATCATGTCCAACACCATTTGGTTGTTATTGTTCAGGAAATTGTTGTTTTCTGAATATCCACGACTCATCTTTTGGAACTAGAGATAGAGAAGACAGATTTATATACATCTGATATCCAAATGTTTTCAGGACATTATAAATCATTTATAATTCATTCCTAAAAATTATCTGCTACTATGTAAAGGAAAAATGAAACTGACCTAAAATAAACACAAAATATATAGCTCGAACTCTTCAATATAATAGTATTTTGATACTATGACTTAGTGGATGGATAGATAGAAGGATGGACAGATAAATATGTGCTTAAAAGTATAATACAAAAATACATATTTTTTATTAAATTCATTGGGGTGACATTAGTTCATAGGGTCATATAGGTTTCAGGTGTACATTTCTATGATACATGATCTGCAAATTGCATTATGTGCCCACCATCCAAAGTTAAATCATTTTTTGTCACCACAGAATTGGCCCCTTTTACCCTTTTCCTAGCCCCCCGACCCCCATCCCTCTGGTGACCATCATGCTGTTGTTTGTGTCTATGAGGTTCAGTTTTATATCCCACATATGAATGAAATCATATGGTTCTTAGCTTTTTTCTGACTGACTTATTTCACTTAGCATAATATTCTCAAAATCCATCCATGTTGTTGCAAATGGCAGTATTTCATAAAGCTATGAAGGCTTTATGGAGGCAGACATCATACAGCTATCCTACATATATCTAAGTGAGCATTAAAAAGAAACAAAGAAAACACTAAGCACTCTAAAGCACAGCTTTTTAGCAACCAGGGAGTTACCCTATTGATGGGCAAGAATCACATTGTGAATATGAGTACAGACAATGGAGCCAAATTTCCCAAATTTTCAATCTGGCTCTACCACTTAAGGTATTATATGGTTCAGATTACTTATTCCTATGCCTCAGTTTCCTCATCAGTAAAACCAAAAAAGTGGCTAGCCCAAACACCTTTGAGGATATATGGACTGAGCTACCTAGCACACAGTAAGGACTATATGTTTGTAGTAGTAACTTTACCATACCAGAGATCCTCAGATTAAACAAATCATAAAAATAAATGTGGCAGATGAAAGGAGAGTCAGTAACTTTTCCATGAAGTACACTTTCGACAAAATGAGTATAAAGTCAGGTCTAGATTCTTATCCAGTTATTCCACTTTCAATAGTCTCAGCTATAATAAAATAATACCTACCTTTAGAGTTATTGTAAGGATTAAATAGTACTATATAAAGCACCCAGCACACTATCTGGCACACAAAAGGTGCTCAGTAAATAATTTATCACAACTAATATTATTTTTCTTCTTCCTATTTTAGCCATCATTGGCATTAAAATTTTCTAAGAATTATTTTAATAATTGTAAATCACTGCCTTGAGCCCAGGTGAAAACAGATTTTACAGAACTCCACTCCACTTATGTGCCTGGAACATCATCACTTTTCATACCACACAATTTGAGATGTATGTTAGAGCATCGGATCTTTTTTTATTTAATCATGTGTTTGGGCCTTAGAAAACAGTCTAAAACAGAATAAAGGGCAAGAAACTGGGTGCTTTTCTTTTTTCATTTCCAAAAAATTATTTAAAATTCTGAAAATATTTAATGTGTCCTACAATGTATAGGCACCTGTTAGCTAATAAAAAATACTGTCCAAGGCCAAATACTTAAAATCTTGTATGTATATTTCAAATATAATATACACATTTAAGAATAATTTAAATCATCTATTATGAAAAATTTTTTTCTGTTGACATTTTCATTACACAGCTGAATCATGCCAAGCAAGCAAACAGTGCCCAGTAGTAGTTCCCGTTAATTGAATATTCAAGAAAGTACCTCTTAGAGTCTGAATGTAAGTATGACAGGCACAGCATTGAGGGACAGTCCTTAATAACACACAAATTATCTCAGAATAGCTGTCACAGTGCATCCCATTCTGGGGGGAAGAAAGTATAGACATCAAACACTGGGACAAAAAGAAAAGTTTGAAGCTCAAATTACACAACTACTACATCTACTCCTATTCATGACAAAATATATTTTAAAAGTCAATGTTTAAATTGAAACGCGTTGTTTACTAGAAATAAAAAATTCTATTAGTTTAATACACAACATTTTAAAGAATGTATTTCATGTCCTTTCCCCCATTCCCACAAGCTTGGTGTATTTAAATGCATCTGTAAGACTAATTTAATTAATTAGACCAATAGAGGTCCGCAACTGGCATCTGATTTTCCTTTCTTGAAACTGAGAAGGGCTCTGCAGACAGTTTTCCCTAAGCAATGGGAAGATGGGAAGGGAGGGGGGCCGGTCGGGCAGGTCAAAGGCCTTTGGTGGGAGATAACACTGAGTCTTCTGGCACCGGGGGAGAAGCCTGAGGTCCAGGCTTCCTGACCTCAATTAAGAGCGGGGCCAGTTGGCTTTCGTCGGTAAGGAGAACGTAAAATCACAGTTGAAGCCCAGGATGCATACACCACAGCCCTGCAAACCTTCGGCCCAGGGGGCCCCTGCGCGGCGCCTCCTCGGGGCACCCCAGACCTTCGCGGTCTCCCGCTCTGCCTTCATCCCCAGTGGGGCAGAAACTCCCCGGGCGCAGAGCGGGTGGGGCGCGGACAAAGGCGTGGGGTAGAGGGACGAAACTGTGGGGACAGAAGCTGGGCTCGCTCTGCAGGTGCGCGGGCGGGACGGATTGAGGGGAAATGGGGCTGGCAGGGTTAGCGGGCTGCGAGCTGCGATGGGGGCGTCTGGTCAAGCGGGACCTCGGCTCGGCTCGGCTCGGCCCGGCCCGGCCCGGCCCGCCGCGGGTGGAGGCCGCGCAGCGGGATAGCGCTGCCTGGCAGTGGTACCGCCCCCTCGCCGCACTGCCCGCCCGCAGGCCGGCGCCCGAGCCCCCTCGGCATCTCGCTCACCTCCACAGGGCCGCGGCGGCCCTCGCTGCACCTCTGTCACTTGCGGCGGCCGCCTTCGCCCGCGCTCCGGCCATGAAGCTCCCGCGACCCGGCTCGCAGCCCCACAAGCCGCCTTCACTTCGAGCCCTCACGCGCCGCCCTGGCAGCTAGTAAGCGGCAGGGAGACCAGCGCCCGCGGGCCGGGGAGCGCCAGGCCCAACACCGCCCCGCCAATCGCAGGCCATCGCCTGAGTGGCGGAGCCAATAAGCGATGAGCTCCTGTCGGGCGGGAGGGAGCCGAACGAGTCGCAGCCCCAAGCGGTTGCCTCGGCCTTCCCCTGCCCCTTCTTGGTGTTCACTCAAGGGCTTGTCGCAGTGCAGCGACCCCACCCTCCCAGCGTCCTGTCTCTTAGCAACTAGATCTTCCGAGCTTGATCTTAGGTGACCAACTGAGTCCAGAAGAAAGGGAGAATAAGGGAGAGATAAAAGAACTCGGATAAAGAATGGATGAAATGGTTTTCGGGGCAGGTCACTTTGGTATAGCTGCTTAGGTTAGGTAGGTAGAACGGCAAAATTGTAGTATCTGAGAGACACTAAAAGTATTTTTGGGTTAGCCATTGTCTTTTTCAGGAGGCATCTCTTGAAAAATGTAAATGACTCTGGGTTACACATTGAGTTTTTTATTCATGTGGATAGGTTCGACATGCGTGTGTTATTGTGATTACCGCTGGGAGCCTAGTTAGATGTAAAAGACCCAGTGTTGTAGGGTAAATACTACATACCGTTTTAAATTTCCACTTGGAATGCGCCTATTCCAAGAACCAAAACTAAATCTTAGGGTCAGAAAGGACAGAAAAAATAAAGCCCTATTCAAATGAATAATTACTATAGTGAGATCTAATGATGAAGTAGCTAACTACAGAAAGCCAATTTTTCCTCCAATTCTATCACCTGTGACTTTCTGCAAATCTTTTACAAGTTGTGTTCTACAAAGGCATTAAATTTAGGCAAGTTTTGTACCACAAATATATCAGTTAAATAAATTCTTTTTTTTTTAAAGATTGATTTTAGAGAGGTGGGGGGAGAAAGACAGAAACATCGATTTTTGTTGTTCCACTCATTTATGCATTCACGGGTTGATTCTTGCATGTGCTCTGACTGGGGATCAAACCTGCAACCCTGGTGTAGGGGGAATGATGCTCTAACCAACTGAGATACTCGGCCAGGGCAAAGTTAAGTAAATTCTGAAAGTGAGGCTACTTGCCATCTACTTTCTCTTTCTCCTTTTACATAGGCTGGAACTTAGTTGTGATGGTAGTGCGCCAGCTTAAATCAGGGGGACAATAAGGACCCCTAATGGATTGCAGAGCGATAACATAGCAGGAACCTAGGCCATGAATTACCTTGTAAAGCAAAGCTGCCTCACAGGCTATAGTTGTCCTGTCTACCTCTGGATTACTACATGACAGAAAAGCATTTATCTTGCTTTAGCTACAGTAATTTTTGACCTATTTGTTACTGAAACTTAGCGAAGTCCCTAAAAGGAAAGTTGGTTGTGAACATGGTGTGCTATAATAACAGATCTAAGAACTATATGGCACTGGTAGAGATATATTGTAGGCTGGAAGGCTGGTGACTTTTCCCAAATGTATTGTCACCTGTGTTACCTGTGTTAATTTGGAAGGCAGATTATCCTTCCTATAGCTCTGTGTTAATTTGTCACCTGTGTCACCTGTGTTAATTTGGAAGGCAGATTATCAAACCTATAGCTCTGAGGGAAGTAGTTGAGAAAATGTCAGAATGTTAGTTTGTGTTGGCTACCACTCCTTGCTTTTAGCAAGGTTCAACAAAAAGAAATGAAATCAGTAAAGAATTAACCAGTCTGCAAGCAAACACTTTAGAAAATAGAGCTCTATTACTGGACCCCACCCATAACATCTGTTCCAGGTGTTGTTTCACATATTAATCTCTGGGGGATTAATTCAGGTACTTAATGTTTGAAGTTTATTCTCATCTCTCTCCAGTCTTTTCTAGAACAGTATTCATTTACAGAATAACAGAGCTAGAAAGGATCCTTGAAAAATCAACATCTTCCATCTTTTCATTTGAAGGTCAGAGAAAGTTTAAGTGACTCTTCCAAGTCCAAACAGCCAACTCATTACGTTCAGTGACTTTTGCCCAAAGAAGAATCTTTCTTTGGCATTGTACAGATATTCCTTCCTGAGGTCTTTTATGCAGAATGGGCAATTTTACTTAAATGTTCCATCTACCTTCCCTTCCTCATTAAGTCTAACTCTTGTGTTCATAAGCTCATCTATCCCTCTATTAGGTTTAGTATAGGCTAAGTTGTGTTAACAAAGGGACCCAAAATACAGTGGCTTAAACACAATACAACTTTATTTGTCTCTCAAATGACCGTAGAGGCGGCAGTCCAGTTCTGGCATGGCCGCTTTGCCATGCTTCACGCACAACTTCCATCATGGCATCTGAAATGCTGGCAGAAGGCTCACTCTTATTTTCACACCCAACACAAGAATTGGGAGACAGGGCAAGAAATGCTTACCTCAGGACTTTTAAAGTCATGATCCAAAAGTCACGTGTATCACATCCACTTATATCCCATTGGCTACGGTTTAACCATAAAGGGGAGGCCAGATAATGAAGGTTTCATTTGAGCAGTTGTGTATCCAACTAAAAGGTGGGAGTTACACTTTTAAATTATGGGAGAGTGAATGTTGGTGGACAACTAACCATCTCTACACAACAGTCTAGTTCCAAAGATTATATGCTACTCAAACCTTTATTATTGACTTCACTACAGTAAATTATTTTTGAAACATTTCTAACTAGTGAAATGTAAAACAAAAAAGGCACTCTATCAGTACTGCAAAGTATACGCATGCGCGCGCGCGCACACACACACACACACACACACACAGAAAAGTGTTTATGGATAAAGGCAATACAAATAAATGCAATGCCTTTTGGACTCCGAGTTGCTACCAAACATTGCTACAGAGCAAGATTTAAAATTAAATGTAACTTTCCTCATGACAAGGCAAAGAGTTGTATAAAACAACAAAAACAAAGAAAAATAATGTGGAAAAGTAAAAGATAAAGTAATAAATACATTTCCTTCATCTGCTTCAAGGTCTGAAAGAAATCAAATAGGTGTGTGGGAGACCATGTTTACTTCCCCAAAATGTCTTTTTTGTGTGTGGAGTTCTTTTTACTACCCAAAAGTGGAGGCCTCTGTTCACAAAAACACTTAAATTGATGAGTCATGTTCAGACTGTAAGTCCTACATGGTGTCATCACGTATGAGTTTATGTGTGTGGCAGGTCTAAGTCTAACATCGTAGAATCTTGACAGATTACTCCTGAACAATAGTATTTTTCCCCTTGTCCCACTGAACCTGTGCTAGCAATGGGTCAAGATAATTTTCCACTCTTCTAATAGTCTGCTACAAGAGAAAAGCACTGTTTCTAAAGGGCACTGTCCCACCTAATCCCCTTCATAAGTCAGTAGTCCTTAAAGACAGCTCCTGATTTAAAACTGAATCTTGATAACAGGGCTATTGACAAGTGTTTACCACTTTTAACAGGAACCCTTACTATATGTCAGGTGCTCTGTTAAGTGCTCAACAGAATCCTCTCAACAGCTCAATTAAATAGGTACTATTTAGAACTTAATATTAAATTCCAAATGGAAAGTGTGTTAAACATTTATATTAATAAATTCACTTTGGTTGGCTTTTAAAAATTTGTGTTTTCACACACAAATGCAAAAACAGTAAAGTAGTATGGTTAATCATTAATACAATGGTTGAGGAGTGGATTTTTCCAATCAATTTATGAGTGTGGTTGCCATGTACCATATATGAATGAAAAATTTCAAACAATATTGCTATAGACAATAAAATACATAGAACTACATTGTAAAAAATGTATCTCCTTTTTTCTCTGAGTCAGGAAGCGCTTAGGAATCTTCATAAACCTTAAAGCAGATGTTTCCAAATGTCTCTCTTAGTTTAAGGACCTGTGAGGACCTGTGGTAGACAGGAAAAGCAATAGGAAATGTACATGCTTGCTGATTTATTAAATTTATTAATAGAAATTATGTCTTTCTACTTTCTGGTCTTAATATCCTTTCTTCATTTCTGGTTTCTCCTCATCTCCCACTGAAGATATTGAGTTTCCTAGTTAATTCAAATTAAAGATTAGTTTTTACAAAGTAAATATTATTAAACAAAACATATCAAAGAAATAAAACACACACACTTACTGATTTTTCACAACTCAAAACCTGAAATAATTGGCTCTGCATGTCTGGAAATTGGAAGGAAGTCCTAATTTTTGTTATTGTGCTGGGCTACATGTGTGGGTCTCCTGCTGAATGAATAAGACCTGTCTGCGATACACACATTAAGGCACTGTGAATCTCACAGGAAGTTGGGGGGCAGGCAGAATCTATCAAAACCAATGAACTGGGAAAACTGCAGTCAGAAGGGAGGAGTACGGGTGCCCTGAGGGTAGGTGTCCAAAGCTGTCAGGATTCCGAGCTTTGGGCCAATATGTAGAGTGAGGGTGAGGGGAAACTGATCCTAGTCTCTTACTCTTGCAAGTTAAAACAGGGTGACATAGATGGGCTCATTGAGATGACTCTTGGGCAATGACCAGAAGTTGCAGAAGAGAACCAAGAGGATCTCTGGGAGAGAGTGTCCAGACATAAGAAAAACTATGTACAAAGGTCGTAAGGTGCAAGCATGCCTGGTATTAAAGTGACTGCAAGGGGGCCCATGTGACTGCTGTGAGGAAAATAGAGGAAGAGTTGAAAGGGGTCAGACAGGTTAGAGCACTGTCAGTGCTTTGATTTTTTTACTGAGTCAAATGGGAAGCCACTGGAGGGAATTTAGCAGAGAAGTATTGTGATATGAGATATGACAGGTGTAGAAAAAATGAATACTCTGTTCCTGTTTTGACAACTCACTACAGGTCTGGTGAGGTAAAGGCAGAAGCAGGGCAACAGGTCATAGGCTATTAAAATGATACATGTGGGTGTAAAAGAGAGAAATGAAAAAAGGGTTCCAAAGTTTCTGGCCTAAATGAATGGAAAGATACAGTTGCCATTTATTGGCACAGGGAAGAGAATAGAAGGGAAACAAG